AAAAACCTATGTGTGTGTGTGTGTATATATATATATATATATATATATATATACACACACACAATGTCAGACTTTATTAAGCAAGTCAATGCTTACACAATAAAATAGGAATTAACTTGCTGATGTTGGTTAAATTTTCAATGTATACTTATAAGTAATCTAGGTGAATTTTAGCTTTGATTTTTTTATGATAAATATTTACAATAGCTTATTTAATAGTTAATATTTTATTATACAATGCAATGGTTGCTCATCATATTTGTGCATGTTTATTTTTTGTTCTTTCTGATATATAATAGATTTTCACAGATCATAATATAGATATGTCCAAAAGTGAGACAAGATATTGTAAAGTTATTGAATGATGAGAATACAATATTGGAAACTGTAAAAGTTGAACAGATCAGACAATCAAAAGAGAAATTGAAAATATTGGTAAGATAAGAATAAGAAAGAAAAAAAAAAAGATTTTTCAGAATGTGGCATGAGTTTTCAGAAAAATTAAAATTTTGAAAGTGGATTGATTATCAAGAAAATATTTGCTCTTGCAAATGTAAACAGTGAGAAATGATGCAGATTAAAAAACATTGGTTAAAAGACATGAAAGTAACCAAACTACCAGCTTTAAGTAAGCATCACACATACACACAAAAACAATGTATGCTGAGCAAAAAACAAACAAAAAAAAACAAAAACTAAAAAAAAAAAAAAAAAACAAAAAAAAAACATGAAAATTGATTTCTTGACTAATTTTTAGTGATGAATGAAGAGCTATATTGGATGAACCTGATGGCTAGGCTTCAGTTCTTTGTGGAAATAATCCAATAAATTCAGAAGTCAACATCAGGAATATGTAGTAATAGCTAGTATTGTAGACCATAAAATTATGTCCTTTCAAAGTTGTTGATGGTGTCAAGACGATTGCAGAGAACTATTTCAAGTTCTTAGATGTTATTTGAGTGGCAAAAGTTACAACCAAGAAACTTTAAAGCTGAAGATTCATGCAAAACAATGACTTTTCAGATTCTGCAAAACTGACTTTTGTCTACTTTGAAACATTCTCTTATTTTTTTTTTTTTTGCAAAGACATCAATTTTAATGTAATCTTCCTCAGCCTTTCCATTTATAAATCCATTAGAAAAGTTGTCCATTAAAATATACATGAGAATTGAGAAAAATATTCAAGCAAAGAAAATCTCTAGGAAGAAATAAAACTTGTATAAGTAATGATAAAGTAGAAATAATTAAAACAGTAAAGAAAAAAAAAAAACAATGGATGAAGGTTATAAAATACCAAGGAACCTATATCAGTATGTGAATAGTAAAATAAAGATTTATTCAGGTAAATGGGATATTTTGCTAATTAAATATGCTTTCCTACATCTTTAATTTATTTATAAGAATTTACATTACACTTTACTTTAAAAAAATACTGGTATCATCAAAATCAGTAGTTTTAATAAGGATAGACATTAAAAGTTGAAACTCAAATGAAAATTACAGAATGTTAAGGAACATTAAATAACAATTATTTAGTTAGTTATATGAGATTGTGCTAAGCAAATGTTTCTATAGCCTATATTTCAAGGATTTATTTATAAAAATTTATATGGCACTTTATTTGTATAAATGAAACCTTTTATCAATGTTTTTATAAGGATAGATCTCATAAGCTGAAAGTGAAATGGTATACTGTTCATATAAATATATACTGATAATTATACCAACAGTTTTACAACTGTTTTGTGAAAACATTAACTTGCACAATAAAATTTGTTGATGAGTGAAAGTTTCAGTTAAATAGTAAAAAAAAAGTGTTTTTAATTAAAGAAATAAGAAAAAAGCAGATTTTTTTTTCTGGTTTATGTAGCAAACTGAAAGAAATAGTTGTCTGTTAGATTTTATTTTAAGCAATATTAGCAAAGTTGGCAGCCTAAGTGATGAAGTTTAAAGGCTGCCCAAAGAAAGAAAAAAAGATAAAAATAAAAAAAAGAAAGGTAGCAATAAGAAATGTTGGGATGGTGCAAACTGATCAGGAATCAAAGAGCTGAAAAGAGGCAAAGATGATATGAAATTAAAAGCCTGGATAGAAAGACTTGGAAGCAGTTTCACAAGTCATGTATTTTTGCTTGAGGAGCGAGAGAATAATCTTAAGCAGATTTAAGAAAAGTTGATTGTCAGTTGTGTGCTGTTAATTTTAATTTGAAAAAACAAGAACAAAGCTCACTGAATAAAAATATAAAGTGTTTAGATTTAAATACTGTCAATATTTAAAAGTAACATTTTAGAGGAAAAAAATGAATTTTTTCCCCTAATAAATAAGTGAAAATTTAAAAGGATTTAAGCTCAATTTTAAATTTACGGTGATCAATTTCATGTAACTTTGTATTAAAAATAGATCTAACGCCACCTATAATCAAAATAATGTTATAATCTGTTATAATAAAAATGTAAGTGCTTGAAAACCTGAAACTTTATATACACTAAAACAACTGTTCATACGCCCCACCCAAGCTAATTTCATTTAAATCACTTTAAAATTTAGAAATCTCTATCAAAATGCTCTATATTTTTACTAACAACAATATATACATCTTAGAAAAAGATTAGGTACTTTCAATTGTTATGGTACAAAGACAAAGTTAACAAGTCTCTGTTTAATGAGTATTGTTTAGCTCATAGTTAACCTGAGAATGATTGTATATTTAAAATCTTAGAATTTCTTTTTCTTTTTATACTTAATGATATTGCAACTTGGTAGAAATAATGATAATATTAAGATAATAGAACTTTAATATTACATCTTTTCTTTTAAATTGAATTTCATTGGCATTCATGAATATCCACGATTTCTTTTTCTTTAATATTTATAACTTGCAAATTACCATGACAATTCTTGGGAGAAGCAGTGGAATGGTTTCCATTGCCTTCTCCATGGTTTTGAATCGTTTTCCTTCTCTTAATCTGGTGCTGTCACTAAGGTTAGAGAGCCCCAGTCTTTTCTATTATTTTATATGTAGCTGGGATAGGGTGGTGAGGAGAAGAAGAGATAGATTCCTGCTTTTGTCCAGAGCATAAAATAAATGTAGAATGCCTATAGTAATATTTATAGTAGTATTTAAAAAGAAAAAAAAGGGACTAAAAATATGGGATTGATTTTAGATGAATAAAAATGAGAGCAGAAATACAATTCATTGATTTATAGTTTATCTATAAATATTTTCAGTGTTACAGATACTAACAAGAATTTTTGTCGAAGTTATCTTCACAGATTACAAAAATCTATTTTTGGATTCATTTGTATAGAGAAAAAAAATTTTCTACTGGATTTTTTGTATACAGCATAATGTTATAACTTAGAAATATAAGAGATAGGCTGTGCACCCACTAGTTCCCAAAATATGCACAATACATCACTTTAGTAAAGATGTAAAAAAAAATTTTTTTTTAAATTAGTCCTATAGATTCCTAGCAAAAAAAAAAAAAAATTCCTATAAATTCCTAGCAAAAAATTATTCAATTCTCAAAGTATTTTCCCCACTGGCTTTTTATGATCTTATGTTACTTTCAGATTTCAGAATTATTAAGTTTTATTTGAAGAATTTGATTTTTTGAATTTGTTAGAATCACTAACTTTAGAAAAAAATTATCTCTTCCAATGTGTCATTCAAATAATTTGATTCAATTTTTTTTTTTTTTTATTTATTCAAGTTAATGGTGTAATGTTGAAATTTCTTTCAATTCAGTTTTCAAGCTGCCAGAGTGGTCCATGAGCACAACCCACAATGCATTTACATCATCATTATTATAAGATCCAGTGGTACATTATATCACTTCTGATGAACTTTTCTTCTCAGATTAAGCATAAAGAGTAGACATTGTTGAATGTCTATTTAATATTTAGTCATGACTTTCACAGTAAAATCACTTTTTCATAAACACTTTTTGAAAACACAAGCAAGAAAAAAAAAAAAAAGAAAAAAAAGGGGAATAAATTTCAAAGATACTGCTCATATTTTCCTAACTTTGTGCAAATGGTGGCACTGGGAACTTTTGCATCAATTATCAAGTTCAACACAATTTGTGGAAAACTCTTTTCTCAACCATATAAAAAGAGTGAGGCAGAAAATAAAAGGCTGTATAAGATGACTAAAAGAGGGTAATTCAGTATTAGTGAAGAGTTATCCATCCAGTACAAATTTATACAGCCACATATGATACTTTGCCTAGCTTATTTGGATTTAAGGTCATAGATATAATTTTTGGGGTGATTAGATACTAAACTGTAAATCTACAACAATTTAGAGTAAAAAGAATGGCATAGGACGTACTTACTGTTACCGTAGATGAGCATTATAAAGTTTTGTAACAAGAATCCTTTGTAAATTTATCAGCTTAAATAAAATGACTTATAAGAATAACACTTGGATACACTAGCTTTTTTTTTTTTTGAGAAGATTATTTTTATATTTATCATTGATTCTAAATATTGTTATGAGTAATTTTATATTAACTTTTGGATATAAAATTGCTCATAATATTCAAAGTCAATAATAAAATTGTCAGTATTTTGAACTTTTTTAAATTTTTCTTTATCAATGCACATTATAATGTTTGGTATGTTAAAGAAAAGAAAAAATTCTTTCAATAAAATAGTAAAATTTGATTGAAGTCAAAAACTGCATGATAGAATTCCTTTGTAACTTGTGGAAGAATTAAAAAAAAAAAATAATAATGACTTTAAAATTATAATATAAAAGACTTTTTGACTATCCTTTAAATTAAAACAGCTCTTTTGCTAAATTATACACGATACAAATGATATCTAGTTTTTCTGGTGAAGCACTACAGACATAAGAACAATTCTTTTTAGCATTGTTGATCTGAATTTATGTCTTTGGTAAACTTGCAGTAGCAGAGGGAGGAAATAGGGACAGAGGGCATAAAGACATGTTTGTGAAGCATAGTGTGGTATTTGGCAATCTCAGAAGACTACTTACCTGGCCAAAGGTATGTGGTCAGCATCGCTTGCAGCGTAAGAATCAGCATTTCTGTAGAGACATTAAATAACTTCTAATCTAAACTAGAACAAAATGGAACCACATTCCCTTGAGATACGTATTAGGTTTATAAATACAAGTTAAACAGAAAACATTAACTAAAATTTTAGATACCATTTAGATTTAATCTAATGTCTAAATTAGAACGAGTTTAATAATTATAAATATTTTCTGTAAAATCCAAATAACTCTTAGCATAAGACAAAGAATTTATAGATTTTTGTCCAATCAGAATTATTATCTTGAATTTATAGATTTTTCTTTTTAACCCATCTTGAGATATACATTTATGGGCTAGAGAGATCTTCCCCAGTTTGGATTTTGAATATTGGTGCTGTAAGCAATTCAGAACATAAGTTTTGCTACTAATCTAACAAATCTTTTTACTCATGTTCTATTTAACTACCTCCCCAACCTTTTCTGTATCTATAAATACCAAGCAAGCTATTTGAAGTATATATTCATTCACTCTCAATAAGACTTCTTGCACATGCACATGTGTGCATGTATAGAGATAAATATTTGTATATTCATGAAATAAATTATAACTGAATGGATTTTTAAGGATCGTCTGTACTCATTACTATATTGCTTTGTTACTTACAGTGAGCTTGCTTAGGATTAATGTCCTCCTTGGAATTATCCCTACTAATTATCAATTGAGATATATATGTGCATGTGTGTGTGTGTGTGTATTTGGGCATCACTCCCCCTTTTATACAAATTTCATTAAAGATGACTTATAAAGGTACATAAAAGTGTGTAAAAACTGTCAAAATGTTCTATATAACTGAGTGCTTTTGGCTATTCTTTTAGCCATTATCAAGGATTTTTTTTTCTATTTTCCAATCACAGTCAGCACATTGTGGCTATGTTCATAGTTTATGTTATTGTGGGTTTTAAAGTATGCTATATTCACAGGCAAAATTGCTTAATATATAGAGATAGAGCATGTGTAAATATAAGAATGGACACTGAGGTTAATACAGTGGTGACAGTGTTTCATGCAATCTTCAAGCTGTTGTCTGAAGACTGTCGACACTCAATGTTGACCTTGATGTCCACTCACATTGTGTGTGTGTGTCTGAAAGAAAAATGGCTGATGTTAAAATATCAAACATTGATAAATTGGCTTAAGCTAAGTTAAATTTGTCCCACATGTATTTGTACCGTCTGGCAGTGTTCATGCATATTATAATTCTATGCAGGAATCAGTTGATAAGGTGCATGTGTATTTCGTGAGCATTTTTATTTCTGTTTGGTAAAAGTCAATGTTGATTGGGGGAAGTTTTATGTGGGAGTAAAAAAAACTTTGTTATACTGGTTATGGCTGTAGGTAAAATAATCTTAGATTATTTAAGTATGGATTTTATAAAATAGTGTGTGTGTGTGAATATATATATATATATATATATATATATATATATATACAATACTCTTAAAGTAATTAAGAAAATCTCATTTATAGCATTGGACTTCACAGAAAATATATACAATTATAAAAATTATAGTTTTAAAGATTTGCTAAATGCCTGACATATTATATAAGCATAATTATGCATAATATTATACAAAGAAAATGAAAGCATCCAGGAAGTCTGATAATAGTTGCTACATTTAGTGTATGAAATTTGTATTTACATGCAACAAATATTATGAGACAGAGATAAACACTTATATAATAATCCAATTTATATAGAAAATTGGAGTTGGGCTTTTGTACATTTTGTTTTTTTAATGAAGACATTCTTAATAAGTTTTCTTATAAATTGCATATTTCATGAACATTAATAATTTTCAAATTGAAAAGAATTTCTGAGATTTTTGGGGATTAATATGCCAAGTATAAATGCTATACAAAAAACAAGTAGTTTTCCTAACAACTGATTTGTTTTATCTTTGTGTCTACTGCAGCCCCCATACTTAATAAGTTAGTTCCATAAACCAATTTGCTAGTAGTGTACTGAATTCAATTCCAACTAAGTACTTGACTACTATAACCTTGTGCCAGACTAAGTTATGTACAAATAAGTTTTGAATTGTCAAACAAAAATCTAAAATAAAATTCATTTATTTACTGATTGAGGGTAGGAATGCTCTAAAAATGATCCACACTTACTGAAAGTCAAGAAAAATATGAAGAGGGTTTAGATCCTTCATTTCTGCTGACCTGTAGGAAGATTTTCACTGTCTACAATAATTGTGAAATGTGATCAACCTGTATCAAATTTTGTATGAAGCATGGAAAATCTATGAGATTCTCAGATTACTTCATGACCTTTTGGCAAACATTCAAGTTGAATATAGGTTTCTAAGTAGCCCACTTGTTTTAAAGTGAGTCAAAGTTCAAAACAAACTTAAGACAACTAATCATCAGCAAAATGTGAGAAAATATTGAAAAGCATTTTTGATTCATGTGAACCATTGCCAAATAATCCAAATCAATTATGGAGTCTGTCAAGAGATTCTCACAGAAAACCTGAACATGTGGCTTTCCAGAAGAGGATTTTTGCAAGTTTTCAAGGTGTAGAAGAGGTACTGAGATTGTTGGGAAATTCTTAGAGGATATGTGGACAAATTAAAATAATATATGAAACATCTACTGGATTAATTGTGGGAATTTTTTTTTTTTTTTTAGGAACTTTCTATCACCTTTGATAATGATAGAGTTATGACTAACATTCACCATTAAATTAAGTGCATTATCAAAGAATATATATGTATATATATATATATATATAAATGTGTGTGTGCTTGTTTTATAAAATAAATACTTTTTTTATTATTGATTGTGAAGCACATGAAAAAGAAAACAGGTTTTAACCGTTACCCTGTCCAGGACATTTTCGTGTGTACTATCCAAACACTCATGCTTGTTTTTAGATTTATAACTATTACAAGTCAACTCAGCTTATTTGGCAAATACAATGTGCTGATATATAGTGTTTCACATAATAAAAACATACAAATCATAATCACTATGCTCTGTGCATTACATGTACCTCACAGGTTTTTATTATGTGGAACACTATATATCAGGACATTCTATTTGCCAAATACGTAGAGTTACCTTGCAATAGTTATAAATCTGAAAACAGGAAAGCATTCTGTGGTCATATATGATGCACAAAATACTAGATTAGGCCTTTCTGGAGATGTCCTGCTCAGTAGTAGACATTTTACTTAAGTGTCCTTAGTTTTATCACTCTTTTAAAATCATGGTTCATGTGCACCACATATGGAATTCACATGTCCTGGGCATCACATATGTGCAAAACAGGCAAAGGGTTAAGTAGGCTTCCTGTCATATAGATATACATCCCCAAATAAAGTTTTCTTCCTTCACATTTTGTTTATTTACTACTTCCAGGTACACTAAAAAAAAAAAAAATAAATTTGAAAGCAAAGGTAGAAAAGGATGTGAAAACTTTATGCATTTATAATCAAGTGGTCACAATTTGTTAATTTCAAGATTTTATTTTTTTTGACTTGGTACAAAAACAGGTTGAAGATAAAAGATAAAGATCCCCACCTTAAACAAAAAAAAAAAAAGAAAAAAAAAAAAAAGAAAAAAGAAAAAACTGATATCATACAAGTGTTAGAGTATATTGAAATATGTTACAAGGTACTTACTCCTGCGTTGAGGGTCTCTTGTACAAGCATCGATAGAGTCCAGCCAACTTTGTGGCAAAAATAATTGTTGGTAAGAAGAAAAAGATTGCCCATCCAGTGCTGAACCAGAAACCATTCTATAAAGAGCAAAAAAAACAAAAATCAAAATGTAACATCCTTGCAGCTCTTTCTCAGTTGGTAGCCAGTGATAATTACTGGACAACAATTTATAAGGCACGTACATATGAAAGGGTTTCATATATACATGCCTTATAAATTGTCTCTTGACAAGAGTGGTTGCACCAAAATTTTTTATCCTGACCAAAAAGGTATTAAAAAAAAAATCTGATTGATATTATTTATATTTAGATTAATGTTTTCAACTATGTTATGTTTCGACTATTTCACTTTCTGGGCTTCTTCAGGTCTGTCAATCCAGATAGTGTTATGAGAGTTCAGTTTAAAATTCACTTTAAGTAGTTTTTAACTGCTAGTCCTATTTTCACAGAGTCTGAGTAACCTGGTTCAGGAATTGAACTTACAATTACTATGCCACTAAATTCATGAGACAAATTAATCAACTAGGCTTTAAAATTCCTTACAGTGGAGTAATGGATAGCGGCTTGGATTAAGGATTGGAGAGTCATTCAATTTCCAGTCAGATCCATTACATTCACTTAACCAGTTATTGAACTCACACTCTTTGGGTCCTGTCACTGGATCTAACCAACGCCTCTATCCACTGTGCCATGAGGATAAATGGCAACAAAGATGAGGACAACAGTCCAAATAATGTAAATAATGTACATAATACCTCATCTCAGAAATATAGACCCCAAATTGATATTATCATGAAGTCCCCTCCTTGACAAATCCCTCATTGTGAAATTTAAACCCAGGTTTCATTGTCAGAATGAAACCTGGATTTAATTCTAACCACTCAGCTACACACCCATATTTGGATAAGAGAAAAAGTGAGATTAAAAAGGAATTTTAATTTTAATTTTCACATAACTAATAAAGCAACATTATTTCCTCATCTGATACAGAACTTAAATTAGAAAATCTATTTAAATAGGAATTTTGTTCCTATGCAAGTTCTTCACTATATTAAACAGATGAAATTAAAATACTGTATTTCCTGCCATATAACATCAACTTATAAGTTGACAATATTCTTTTTTTTTTTTTTTTAAATATTTTAACATTTTGGTTCTTAATTTAATCAATTAGAATAATTTGTTCTTGAGGTCATCAGAAAACTAGCATGGTAAACACAGGTTTTTAGGTACACGTTATAAGATGCAGGGTGATATTGAGTTTTGGGAGAAAATATATGTCTCCGATACAGCAGGAAATATAAGGTGCATATATTTTATCAATGCATCCAAGATTTACTTATTTAATACAACTTTAGTGTATACAGATAGCGAAAACATTTAGCCAATATATAAAGTGAACAAAAGTTACCTAAAAGGGTAGAATTATGAAGAGGTAATTACAATAGACATTGTGCAAGGCAGAAATCATTTAAGTTTTTAATGAATACTCAAGAGCAATAAGAAAATTGGCAAAGGTGGGCTTACCATTGGGTTCAGGAAAGTAATGCATACAACATCTGTAAATGTGAAGATAATGTTGTACACAGGTCTACAAGGAGCAACATCATTTATGATCTAAAAATAAACAAAAAATATTTACAAGGTTAAATCTATTTTAAAAAGATAAAATCTACAAGGACATAATCTTGCTTTAACAAAAAAAACTTATAACAAAAAGAAACTTACAGTATCAATTAAATTGTTCACATTCTTAACGACAAGCTTTCCTAATTCCTGGATTACCTCCTTCACAATCTGTCATGGTTGGAGAAAAAAAAAATTAATTAGTAAAAAAAAAATATTAATTAGTAAAAAAAAAAAAAAAAAAAAAAAAAAATGTTCTCTGAAACAATAAAAGAATTATTTTATCTATTCTACAATGCAATTTTCTTAAATAATATTTAAACTAATTGTACCTGGCGTGTATGTTAAATAACATTAAGAAAATTATATTTCTATAGAATGAGTATTAGAGAAAAAACAAATCAATACTAGATGGGCTAATGGAAATTCTATGATATAGCTTTGCAATTTTGGAATAAAATACAAAAAAAAAAAAAACACACACACACACACAACATATACTTAAAAGTATAAAAAATATTTGTTTATGGTTTAAAACAGTGACTTATTCATTTATAACTATTTTAAAACCTTTACAATAGACAATGTAGAGCAGAAAATGATTTTCTTTTGTCTTTCAAATCTACAACTCATTTTTATAATATTAAATTGTTACTAGCTCAATAGAACTGTGGCAAAGATATTCCAAGTTATAAAAAAGCTTGAATATTATAATATAATTATTTATGAATCAATGAACAGTAAGGTCTAGCAGTATAGTCAATGATTTTGGGTAGAGAGAAAATGTTAAGCATACAATAGAGAAGCATGTAGAGAGGTACAAGCATGTAGAAAATTTTTCAGACAAACTTTAAAAAAATTTATTAGATCTAGAATACAATACCTAAGCATCAACTTAGTTATTCTTGGGAAAGGTTTATGCTATAGTGTAGTCCAAGGTTGGTAACCTTACAAGAGATAAGCAAAATTACTTACTTTTTTAATTAATTCGGTCCCATTATTTTTCACAGAAGTTTCTACTTTTCTTATGGTTGTAATTAATGAAGAAACTTTTTCCTAGATGAAAGGAAAATAAAATGAAATATTAAAACATTCATCTAGCCTGTGATAGAGGCAGGATTAATTCAAAAAACATCACTGAAATAATTATAGCAACAAAATATTCTGGAAATAAAAGAAAACACAAAACTGTAATCAAAATCTTATTTTAGAACTGACTGAATTTGAAGCTGGTATCTGAACATGGGCAGGGATTACAAGTAATGGTTAACAGTAAAGAAAATTAAATCAGTAGAATCAAATTCCAGCTGAGATAGTTTGCATTCACTTCACACTAATGCCCATGGGAAAGGCAAGAAAGGTTCTCTAACTTTGAGTGGCATCCAGTTTACAAGAAGGAAAACTGAAGAGAAAGCAAATGAAAACCTCTCACACTATCTTTGTAAGAAATAAAAATGACAATATACAATTTAGAAATATTAGAAAAAAATGAAGCTGTGAAGAACCATAATTGTTTACATCTTGAAAAGAAAAGGCAATTAGAGACATGTAGGCAAGGTTTGAGTTTTTATTTCAGCCCATTAACTAACATTCCACTATTATCAATAGTCATTTTCTGTTTTAACAAATTATTTCTGGTACTAGGAAATAAATGGATTAGTAAAATATAAAAATCAGGATTTTCTGATATTAATATCTTCATGGCATAAAAAAAGAAAAAAAAAAAGAAAAAAAAAAAAAAAAAGAAAAAAAAAAAAAAAAAAAAAAAAAAAAAAAAAAAAAAAAAAAAAAAAAAAAAAAAAAAAAAAAAAAAAAAAAAAAAAAAGAAGAAAAAAAAAAGACCCATATCTCTCCAGGACTTAGCCAATCATGACTGTAGAATTCCAGTTATCCTTCTCTCAAACTAGTCACTCAAGGCTAGAGATCCCAGTTTACCCTGCTATTTAACCAATAACTAGTAGGCCTTTCTTAAAAGGTACTTCTGCAAAAGTGAATGCAACAAACAAAATATTGATATTGTGAACAAGAGTGTCTGCAAAAAGCCATAAAAATAAACAAAAGATAATGTAATTATTGCAACTTACCAAAAGTTGTTCTTCAGTGATGTTGAAATAAAATATTGAAATACAGGAAAGTAAAAATTTATCTTTCCTTATTGGATAGATATATTTTTTTGTTTTAAGATATGGATTTTTCAGACAGAAACCATGATAATATTGGTTCCATGAAAATTTCACACAAACAAGATAATTTATGTTTGAGTTGATGATTTAATCTTTGTATTTTTTTTTGGTGGCCTGGATCTTATTGTGTTATGTACAACATCTGGTCTGAGTAACAGCAATAGTGAAATTAGCCATTTTCATACAGGAAACATTGGACATTGATTGACCAGTGTTATTCTCAGTTGAAATTTATAAAATCTTTTTTGTAAAAGTTTTTCAGGAAATTAGACTTCAAGTTCACTTTTTTTTTTTTTTTTTTTTTAAATAGTGAGAAGTTTCCTTCCAAACCTTTTGTTCATGGCAGTGTGAAAAGTTAATACCTTGATTCTATCATTATTTTCTCTTACTTACATGTGCTATTCATTTTTTTTATTGTTTGCATTGTGCTTATAAAATCTCAAACCTTTGATGTTCTGCACTTTATTTATATTCAATACATCCTGAAGATTAAAATAAACATAGTATAATAGAATTTTCTGTTTAAAATAATAAAATTCTATTTCTACTACAGTAAGTATAAGAGATGGACACATTTTTCAACTATGTACAGGACTCTTCTGGGAACAGAAAAGCCCACCCCACACATACAAATTTTGCATTTTATATATGCTTTTCATCACAACACATTTGGCTCTGTTCATTGGAGTGAACATAATAAATTAGGGGGAAAAAATACCAAAACAAACTTATTATCTATTAAAAATTTGATTTGTTTTTTTTTTTTTTTATAGTTTATCAAATGTATGTTATTGAAAGCCAAAAATATTTTGAGTTGTAGGAGGTTGTTTACAGAACCTGGTGTTTCCTTCTAAGTACTGACCAAGCTTGATGTTGCTTAACAATCAGGAACCAGTGTTTTCAGTGCAGAAAGATGAAGGGTAATGACTATAGATTTGTGTCGCACATCAAGTGTCCATGACGGAAGAGATTAAGATGATCTTTATAGAGGATGGGTTTTTGAAATGTGTGATGCAAATTCATGATTTGCTAGAAAATTTGTGCTGTTTATAAGAGGACTTTAAGAGCATTGGTGATAAAAATTAAGTAAAATTAAAAACATGAAGAAAAGCTAATAAGAATAAAAAAAATAATTTAATCCTTAGTCAAATTTAAAAAACAACTTAAAAATTCAGAATGTATAATTCCTTTAAAAAAAAAAAAAAAAAAAAAAACATGGCTTACATCAAGATTCATATTCTTCTTGACAAGAACAAGGATTCTGCCCAAATTATTCTGAAATAAAAAAATAAAAAACAAAATAATAAAATAAAATTAGTTCTTATGACATAGCATAATATTTCTTCATATTAAGAGAATGAAGACACACACACACAGAAGATGGTGTTTACCATTTTTACAATTGTAAGCATATAGGAGTATATAGAGTTAAGTTAATCCCCATAGAGGACATAAATGTGAACATGAAGTCTGTTCATTTATCTCATATTCTTGGAACTTGTATATATACTGATCTAGATATGTAATCATTTACTGTAATTCAAATACCTAGCTATATAGATAAACTTGAGTAAAGAGGAAAAAAGAGTGGCGTAAGACATGTTTCATTAAGTTAAAGGGTTTTGAAGACAATAGAATGAAGCAATGTGATCAGCTTCGTCAAGCTCTGAAGCAGAGATGCCATCAAAATCCTACTTTAACAAATTTCATCTGTCAGTGTGGCTTTGTTGCCTGCAGCAAGGCTGGGCTAGTATCACACTTAAGAAAGCACAAATAAAATATGTCTTTCTCTTACCAGATTTTCTCCACAATAGCCCCTGCTAGCATGCATAAGTGTAAAACAAAAAGGCACCATCCAATGCTGATCCTCATTTATCGTTCATGATAGGAGAATCCACCATATATATATATATATATATATATATATATATATATATATATATCATTTTAAATGTTATTTTTAGTGGATATTTGTATTTGAGTAGGTGTTCCACTTATTTATTAAACAGTATATTTAAATATTTATTTTCCTCTAACAGACTGAATGTTTGAGAAATCTTATTAAAGAAAAAATTGTGCTCTTTAGCAGAAATTGAATCTGTGTCTCTCAGAGTAGAAGGAACTACCTTTTAGACCAGTATGCCTTACTGCACACACACAATAATTAAGATATGTAATTAGAAATTTGTTAAAAATATATGAGAAGATTAATCATAATATTTATAGAGAAACAATATTAGTACATCAATAAATCGATAAGCTGACAGTTATCAGCTGAACTTACTGTGAAGTAACGCTATGTTAAGTTTATTGAAAGGAAGGAGAATATGTTACATATAATAAAATGTTTTGTCAGCAAATCATCAACATGTTGATGAAAATGAAAGTGCACATCATGATCTCCTAAATGTTAATGAAAAATGGGAAAATTGAACTGATATTTGTTGTCTGAAAATACTTTCAACATTAAGAATTTTATTGTAAAATATCTGAGTGTTTCTTTTTTGCAGTATAAATATTTGTTTATATTTAATATTTGTTTTCCTTAATCTAACAAGAATGAGAAAATGACATATTGTAATCTAGAATAATTGGGAAGAAAAAAAATCCCATTTTTGTAACTGTTTAAATTAGGGGAAAAAAGAAAAGTAAAAATAATACAAATACCTCATCTCAGGTTTTAAATAATTGGACTCCAAATAAACTGAAGACTAGAGTTTTATAATAGAAAATACTAAGTAGCTGCATGCAAAGAGTTAATTTTACAAACACCAGTTACAACATACAATGTAATCAATTCAAGATTGGGATCCATTAGTTTTATGATCCACTATAACAGATTAATAAATTAGAAGATGGCTACTAGAAAAAAAAAATGTATTAGTTTTACAAGCTGAGAACTGTCAATATAATTTCAGTTATTACACATTACAAAATCATTTTTTATCAAAATCATTGACTTTCATAAAAAATTAAAAATAAATAACTTTTAGAAAAATATAGGAGATTAGAAACTAAATGTGAAGAGGAATTTTTCATTGGGCAAATTCAAGGCTTCTTTGAAGGCAATCATAAAATTAAGTTGTAAAATGAAAGAAAAATTACCATTTCATTTTTCATATAAGTGTATGTAGTGTTATGAATTTCTCTCAACTTTTGGGCATTGGCTACAAATGATATATTGACCTGAAAATAGAATGAAATAGTTTGGTGAAATATGAAAACTTAACAGGAGAAAAAAAAAAGAATACGTGTCATTTGAAGAGTAATAATAGAAGAAATACACAAAGACTTCCTCTAAATGAAAATGAGACGAGAGACAAAAAAAAAAAACATTTCATACATACACAGAGCAACACCAGTAAAAAAAATGGACTCACAAAGAGGGGGGATGAGGGAGAGAGAGAGGGGGATGAGGGAGAGAGAGAGGGGGGGATGAGGGGAGAGAGAGGGGGGATGAGGGAGAGAGGGGGGGGGATGAGGGAGAGAGAGTCAGAGAGAAAGTAAAGAATGTACAGAGGGTGACAGAGACAAGAAAATCAGAGTTATGGTACAAAAGTCAAACAATTACATACCTTGATGCCGAGACTAGTTAAGTTGTTGGCAAGCAAATTGAGATCGGATGTCACAACAGTCTTGTTTAGCTGTAATACATAGGAAAATGTCCTGCATAAGACATGGAAATTTTATCCAAAAAAATAGTTTATTAGTCAAACAAATTAATTCTTTAAATGTAACAGCTATGTTAATTCAAATTCAAATAACCTATGCCATTTTATTTCCTTTTGATTTAATTTCAGAGAAATAGGTGAAATTGTCAATTATAATAAAACCTATCTGGCCTGAAGGCTTAGAGAAATCCTATTATAATTGTGCTTATCTCTCCTTTCATTAGTTTGCACAACCACTATGTCATGCCAATAGCCCATAAATAATGAACCATTCTGTTTTGATTGAATGGAAAGAGGAGAAAGACGCTTAGTTTCAGAAAGAAAATGAAAAAAAAGGGAAGATAGAAGTGTTTAACAGCAATTTCAGTGAAATGGAAATAGTTGCCAATTTCAAATCTTTTCATTTGTATCCCCTGACTTCTTAAAATAATATCCAGCATTCATATTTATGATTGTTATTGAAATATTTTGTTAAAGTTGTTAAGATCAAATATTTAATGATGTGATAAAATTTTCATATAAATCTCCTTGTTGTAGAACTCAATCATTAACTTAAAAATTAAGATTTATTAGAAAATTCATATTAAAAAAATGAAATTTTCATTAGGCTAAAACTAATAAATATAAATACTATAAAACCAACTTTTTCTTCCCTATATTAACAGAGTAAGCTAACCTTAAATTATTTTATTCTGCAGGTGTTAGAGCAAATCCCAAAGAAAAATAGTTTGGCTGGCCATGAGTTATCAGACAACAATAGAAAAAGCTTACTTTTTGAACATATTGCTAAAACTTTCACCAGATCAGGTTTGATCAAGTTTAGCATAGTACGGCTCAAGACCGCAAATGTCGGGTATTCACTGAAAATTAAACTTCCCCACCAATAGATGTTCTCAAGCAATACAAAACAGTGAGCATCAGTGCAATGGTAAAATAAAATCTATCATTACTATCACTAATGAGGGTAGAAAAAAAAAGTACAATCATCTTGATAATTTGTGTTAGTTTATTAACAGCCATCTTTCAAATGATGGAAGCCTTATAGCCAATGTTAGTTAAATCTTTAAAGCCACTGTAAGGTTATCAGTCATAAGCTTCCATTAACCGAGCTTGTTTTCTTGGTAAAAAAAATATGCAATAGAATAATAAGAATGAAAAGGCAGATATCATAACCAACACCAATCCTGCTGACGTTAAACCAACCAATCAATTTTAATATATATAGGATGGCGGGGGAGTAATAAAAGCTTGTAGATAAAATTTGGTTAACAATTGAAAAAAACAATATAAAATATACCAATATTCCTGGAATAGTGGGTCAGAGGGATTTTTGCCTTTATTGATCAATTCTTTCTTTAGCCATTGGCTTTGTAATTCAAATTGCAAGTTATGTTTTTGTTATTTACATATACAAGGAGGGAGAAGAAAGTTCAATCCTCTCTATGCACAGAGATTGTACCATTCACTTGAAATGCATACAGCTAAGGAGTCAGTTTACCAATAGATTTTATGCTGTCAGTGTTTAATTATTAAGCAAGGTTTTGTGATATGCTGAAATGGCTCTGCAATCTTTACAAAAAAATCTGAGCAACATGCCTATATTAAACTTTATATAAAGCTTGGAAAATCTGCTACTGAAACTCTGCAAAATGTTTGTTAAGCTTTTGGTAAACATTCTTTATAGGCTGAGCACAAGTCTTTGAATGGCACATGTTTAAAAGCTTGAGTATTGCTTCAAGAAAGATGTTCAACATTACCAATTACAAACAAAATACAAGAAAATAAGGAAAAACAAGTGTAAACTGATCCATGAAGAATATCAATGTCTTGAGGATTATCTAAATAAATAATGGAATCTTAAATCATTTCTAGCCTGTTAACTCACTACTTATCTACAAATGTATTTTTAAATTTTGGATCCATACTTTGCTGGTTGCTATATGAACAAAAACATAAGCTTGCTCATTTATTTTACACCTTATCAAAAGCTGAAAATCACTATGAATTTTAATTAAAATTTAACATGACTAGTATTTATACAATGCACTTGAGGACACATGGCCCAGTGGATAAAGACGTTGGTTAGATCCAGTGACTAAACCCTAAGAGTTGTGAGTTCAATATCAGGCCACAGCAGTGGTTAACCAAACTTGGAGAGTTGAGTTAAAGGGAAATAAGTAAGACATCCAGAAGAGGCATGGCATGTGGAACTAGAACAATCTACTCTGGTGGACAAAATAAAGGGTTCGGTTCAAAATTCCAATCACCTGAAGAAGGCTGGAGTGTACAACAGCAGAAACGTTGTGAATATGGCAATGAGGATAATAGTCCAAATTATGAAAAGAAAAAAATTTTCTTGCCTTTGTTTGTTGACAAAGGTGATGGTAGTTTTAATTGGTTTGGGTTAAGTTTATTTTACTTGAAATTATAGTGGTAAAAAAAGTTTATAAGAGAATAAGCAAAGATTTTAAAGAAATTATTGAGTAGAACATTGATTGGAAAGAAAATGGAAAAAATTATAAAAATAAAATGAAAACTTGGTTTTTTTTAAAAAATAAACCAAGTGACTTTTGTATTTATAATTACAAAATTATTTTATTTAAAATAAGGTAAGAATAAAGTTTAAAATAGTCAACTAAAAAAAAAATACAATTTAGCCATTTTATATATTAAAAAAAAAAACAAAAAAAAAAAACAAGAATCATTGTTAAAAGATGGTTTTGAAAACTCAAGAAATGTTATATCTATGTTGTCAATCAGAAAACTGTGAGTTATAATTTCTGTGAAACCTGTGTTATTGACATATGAGGAAACTAGTAAGGTTCACTTTGTTTTAAATCTAGTAACAGGGAAGGTAACCAGTGATAAGAGATTCATTCCTGATTTGTTGAAATTCCAAAAATCAATCTCTTCTAGCACATTTAGAATATTCATGAAAAAGGATCACTGGACAGTGAAACCCTTAACATCTAAACAATACAATCTGTTACAATAGTATGGCTCACATTGGAAATATGACAATGGTTTTAGGGGGAAAAAAATTTTTTTAAAAAAAGCCAAAAATTATGCAAGTGATTATTTTATTATTTTTTTTTTTTTTTACTATCTTCAATTCATGAAACGGCAAAAATTTTTCACTGTCTTTGTTGAGCGTTTATTCTTAGAGATTTAAAAATTTCTTTACCTATATATTGGCATTGTCCTGGCTGAACAATTTGTGTGCATGTCCCCTTGTTCTTTGTTTGCATCGAGTAATAAAGTACTTTTGGTTATTTGAACTATTGAAATATAACTCCGGTTCACTATGTGTTCCTCGCAAATGACTTGCATCTACCCAATCACTCATGTCCATTATCAGTCTTGAACTGTTTCAGAAGATGATTCGACTTCTTGACTTTGAACAAAAGTAGGTTCATCCACTTGTCAACTGTCTATGTCCACTTATGCATTTGGTAGAGTGCCAAGTTTATGTGTGGCTAACATAATGGTTATTAGGAATGAAAATGAAATCAGTGAACTGAGTTTTAATCTCAGCAGAGTTTATTATATTTATTTTGCACTACTGTTATTGGGAAAAGCATGAACATATTTCTCATCTCCCTAAACTATGGGTAAAATAGCATGATAAACTAGCTCTCTAACTTTCGTTAGCAAGCAGCCAAGGATAACTGAATTCAAATTTGTTGGGCAGTTACCTTGTAAAACCTACTAGCTACTGAAACTGAAGCAGCATCACCTAGCTTAATGCTGTTGCATTCCAATGTTTGACAGGTAGTCTGCAAGTTCATGGAAGTTCCAAATAAGAGGTGGGAGGTGAGGTCACTGGAGTAGCAGTGGGAGTTTCAAAACACTATTTTCTATCTCAGTTCATTGGTGACATATAATCAATGCGACAAACAAATAGAAAAATTTACACTTTTAGAACGAATTATAATGAGAAATATATTTGATGGTTGTTAAGATAGAATAGAGACAAACTGACAAAAGATTAAAACATTCAGGCTTTTGCATAGACAATGTTGATAGAGGAGACATTCACAGAATAGCAATAATGATGTAATTATTTAAAAGAAACATGCAGACTTGGTTTTGAAGGGCGATACTTCATGCATTGAAATTAAAATCAGAGGTGCTCAACTCAAGTCATTTTATAAGCATCAACAATGAGTGTTTTCATAATTTCTTTTGGATTTTCTTTTTAAAGGAGGCAAGAATAAAGTTTAAAATAGCCAACAAAAAAATATATATATATATATATATATATATATATATATATATATATATTCATATATTTTTTCATTCATACATGTTTCATTAAATAATATAGACAAGTGTTGTCTATTTATTTTATATAAATTCTTTTCATAACGTTTGATAAGCTTAATAACATTATCATTAAACGAAGAAAGAAAATCACAATATTGATACATATTTTTAATCCAATCTTTCGGCTTACATAAGCGATTATCAAAGATAACAATTACAGTACAATATATTATGCAATACACGGACAAGAAAGTGATGATAGTCTATTTCTGTTTACATGGATGATTTCCAAACAATGATAAACACGTGCATATAAGACGCTGGAAGCGAAAATCGCACTGCAACTCATGATATCACACATGACCACGCAAGAGTGAATTTGAGAAGTATTAAGTATGTGAAGCCGTTGGTATAAACCAATGGCTTCTGTTACCAATTATAGACATTTAAGAATATTTGTGGAGATTTCATAGTTTATTTTGTTCAGGTTAGGTTTCAACTGTTTTCTGTATATAGCTTCAAGAATTTTTACCTTTTGTTTATTGTTTTCATGTTTAAGTATAGTTGTGTTTTCTACAAGGATTTTACGGAATTGTGTATGTGGCCAGGTATGTTGTTTTAAATGTAAACAGAAATAGACTATGATCACTTTCTTGTCCATGTATTGCATAATATATTATATTGTAATTGTCATCTTTGATAATGGCTTATGTAAGCTGAAAGCTTAAAAAATATGTATCAATATTGTGATTTTTTTTTCTTCGTTTAATGATATATATATATATATATATATTTAGTGACTTTTTATGCTAAATCACAAACTGAATTTTAGTTGATACTGAATTGTTAAAAATAAGCAAGATTCAAACCCCAAAAATTTTAACAAAGTAGTGTTTTTTGGGGTTTTTTTTAAGTGAATTAAGTTTATGATGAAAGATGGAAGCTGAAGTTTCATTTATGTCAAAAGCAGAGTTATTTTAAAACTCAATATGTAATAAATACCAATACATTAAGTTATCTTCATATAGTTGATCAAATATCATCTATTAAATATATACAGAGTGTTTCAAAAAAATTGAGATGTAAAATGTGAATATCTGAGTAACTACATGTCCTGGGCAAACAATTAAATAGGCTTCATGTTGAAGAATAAAATTTATTTATCAAAATACAAACAAGATATTCAAAGGGATGTAGGTTTTATAACTAATTTCACAAAGCTTCACAAATGCACACCACCTGTGATATGACACATGTCAAGTTGGTAGTCCAGTTCCTGCCAAACAGGCTGTAACATTCTCCAGCATCTCAATGATTCTCTGCTTAAGTTCCTCTGGTCTTGTAGGAAGAGGGAGGATAGAGACATGTTCTTTCCCATAACCCCATAGGGGAAAAATAAAAAAATAAAATAAAAATCACAAGGTGTCAAATCAGGTGAATGTGATGGCATTTTTGAACAGCACATTGTCATCACTGACACACTTGATCCATCTTCCTGGTAGATCATCTTTGAGAAATTCACAGTCAACTTATTTTTTATACATTTTGTTAAAATTTGATATCATTTGAGCAAGAATTGGCTATGTTATTAAACTACAAAATTATGTCAATTTTTTTTTTGGGGGGGGCGACACCCTGTAAATATAACTCAAGAAAAGATTTCCTTTTGTTTTGCAACACCTGAAAAATTATACCTGAAATTTCTTCACTGCTAAATAAAAAGGTGTTGCAAATAATCCTTTAACTGGCTTCAGTCATTGATTCAAGAATTACATTATTTCAGCCAATGAACATTACTATTTCTATTGTCTTCTCTTAAAATCAGATGTCCCCACTATTTTCTAAACCTATACATACTCCAACTAATTATGCAGTGATATTGAAAAGCCAGAAATACTATTCAGAGAATATTTTACATAAAAAAAATAATGTTCAGAAAAAATTCCATGTTCAGATTTTTTTTTAACTTTCATAAAAATAATTGCATATTGTATCCAAGAACTTAATACAAAGTCTTCAAAGAATTCCAAAATAACAGCATACAAATCTAGTTAGAAATAATTGCTACTTTAACAGTCAAACCACACATGGATTCTGGATATGCAGCCCAAATAATGCTTGAACAATTTAATGAAATAAACAAAACTCTAAAAATTTGTATGTTACATTTTGGCTTAAAAGAGCTTAAGGGAAGTTTTGAGGATGAGACTATATTATGCACTACTGTTTAAAAAGTAGAATTTAGTTAAGAACCACTGATTATATTGATTGGTGATAGGGGTATAGATTCTGTGCAATTTGAACAACCATGAAATATTCTAGTATACATGCAATGGGGGAAAAAAAAATGAAAAAAAAAATATTTTGAAAAACCCACAATGAATAAGGACACAAAAATATGTAAATAGACATCTTGTATGCTCATCTGTGTGCTGAAATTCTTAGATTTGTACAAAGCAACAATATAAAAGATTATCTATTTAAAGTAATTTGCTTTAATACAAAATATAATCTTTTGTAACTGTTTCATGCTGAAAAATTCTACTGACATGTGATTTTTGTACAGAATTTTTGTTTACATGCATAAAAGCTGAATATTTTTCATGCAATATCAAACATCACCATAAATGAAAAAAGCCTGGGTTATTATTGAAAAGCACTTCACTGGAAAGGGAAAACATGTATAAAATGTCAAAGTCAGTTGTCATGTTTAGGTCGGATCTTTTTGTTTTAATATAGTAGTTAATTCATTATACATTTTTTATTCTTATTAATGAACCAAACAGCAAACCTGTTGAAAATGAAGTTCCTTTTCTGTCATTACACTATGAATTAATTTACAACCAACTAGGATTTCTAATGCATTGACTAAATGATAATATCAGCCTAAAGAAACAATGGTTTGTAAACAAAATGTAACTTTTGGAAACTTTTAATGATATATACTGAAGTTTTTTTGATCTGGCATGCATTCTGATGCCAAATTAGAGGGTGCGTTCTCCTACAAAGTAGGACACAGGTTTGAACCCTGCCAGAGAGCCAATTTTTATTGTTTCTTCAATGTACAAGTTGGTAGATGTAATTTATTGTTTAAAAAAAAAAAAAAAAAAAAATAAATAAATAAATAAAAAAAAAAAAAAACCCCCAAAAAACAGAGCATCTATAAAATATTTGGACTAGTAAATTATTTTCTTTTCAACATCTCTTCAATATAATTGTTTCATGTTCCATTTCTTAAAAAAAAAAATTCTTACAATGCTCACATGATAGCAAACTAGTGACACCAAAAAGGATAAATTTGGATTTAAGAGACACTGAAAATTCCTTGGTCCAACTGACTTCACAAAATCTGATCATAAAATCAGATCAAAAATACTTTTTTAAGGGGTTTCTTAGGCAGGTCAAGAACTTTTTGGTGCCTACTCATATTATTCAGAAAAATAACTTTGTTTTTTTTTTAAAAATGTAATCTATCTAAAAGTCCTTTTTAAGAAATTATTTAAAGTGTTTGGGAAGGTCTGATTACTGAAGTATGTCAATGTCAATATCAAAAAAAAAAAAAAAAAAAAAAAAAAAAAAAAAAGATTTGGGGAGGTCTGTCATTCACTTATTCAGGTTTGTCAATATACAAAAAAAAGTGGTTCCCAGAGTGAATTGTTTGTATAAGAGCCCTGTATGTGATAAAGTTTAACTCCCATGGGAGAAAAAACATTATTGAACTATAATTGCTAAGCATTTATAATAAACTATTTTTATATTTGTACCAGAGGAAAACAGCAGTACTAAGCTTATTTGGGAACCACTTAAGTGTACAAAAAAAAAAAAAAAAAAAAAAAAGCAAAGTCATGATAGTAGATGAAAGGTTGGGTGGGTGGGGGTAAACAATTCATGCATATAATAAAAATACTTTATTGCAAACCAAACAGGCTTTTTCTGTTTTTCATGAAAGACATTTTTTTCTCTGTAGACCACTCACCTCGTTAAGCTTGAAAAGAAAAAAATAAATTTAAATAATGTTTCATAAATAGAGAAACAAGTTGATACAATAAAAAAAGAACCAGTTGAAAATTTACATGGTTTTAACATTGAAAAGACAAAGTCATTTCAAGTAATTTTCTTTTTTAAATTATGCATCAGAATACTAAAATATTTAAAATATTTTTTTGAAATTACAAAACTAAAAAAAAAAAAAATTACCTGTTTCCTGCTTGTCTTGTCAATTTTACAACATACCTTATATTTCAAAACAAAATCATTGTCATACATTTTAGATTAAAATTCATCTATGCTATTTTTATGAATTTTATAAAAGCAAAAGTTAAAGAAAAAAAATAATCAGATGGTTTCTTTTAGCTTCAAAGAAATGAAAAAAATACAAATGACGCTCCATCTCAAACAAAAGCTAATAATGGAATAGAAAGAAAAGTGTAAAATGGATTAAAGAGAATTTATAAGGTTATTAGTATACTATTATGTTGTAGAAAAAAGAAAATTATGCTAATGAGCACTGCTCACATAATTTTAAAAAAACCCAAAAAACTTTCAATAATTTCCCAAAGTAAAATATTATGCTCTCCAACTTTCTTCATTGGTTCATGAATTTTGTGGCATTGTAGTTGTAAGACCAATCCAAGAACAAAGTAGTCCATTAGTAGAAATGGAGCTAGCAATAACTGAGCAGTACTACTACTAAAAAAAAAAAAAAAAAAAAAAAAAAAAAGACTACAGATATTCCCAGATGTGGAATGAGAACAATCTTTTCTCTGTAGATTCAATTGAGAGTTCAATTTGAAATTCCCTGAAGAGAATTGATTGGATTCACTGACATGTGAAATGGGTCAGAGGCCACACTGGCCAAAACATAATAGCAATGACGATATTGGCCTTACTAAATAATAACTCATTCCAGAAATTCGCACAAACGTCATGCATTCCTGTGTTTTTACAACATGAAAGTATTTTGCTATTTTGCTTTTTCTCTTTGGAGAAAAAAAAAAAAATTCCAAAATAACTATTGGTATATAACCCTTAACATTTAGTGACTCTTTCAAATCAAATTGGGCAAACTTAAAGAAAAAAAAAATGTACATATTTCAGTTTTTCTTTCTTTAATGGTGAAAGATTAGGAAGAAGTCAAAAGACTTGTGGTTTTGTAAATCAATTTCTGTGATTGTCTTCAAAGTAAAGATAATTGTAATGTAATTACTAAAGAAAAAACTTCAATAAACAACTTAGTATTTTTATTACCTGCTAGTAAGAAGAATGAATGCATTTTTATTCCTTCTAGTAAAGATTAAGAATATTTAAAATATTCACCAAAGACAAGGCACCATGTAATATATATATATATATATATATATATATATATCAGGATTTCAGTGTAAATAATAAAAGTTTCTCACCTGGATTTCATATTGAGTGAGGTTAATTTGACTGTTGGTTTTCAATTGCTCAAAATTCTTCAGCGTCTTTTCCAATTTGTCATCCAGTAGTTTCACATCACCAATATGTACACTTTTCTCATTAATATTGTTAATTTTATCAACTAACATCTAAGGAGAGAGGAAAAAAATTAATGAGATAAAAGCAATTCAATTAAGTTTATACATTAGATTATTACAATATGTTTATCAAGTCATAAAAAGGTGACACAATTCTATTTAGCACATAAAATTACTTGTATCTATATGCAAACATATCAAGTCTCTAATTAAAAGTTTAACTATACACACGTTTACAAAATTTCTGCAAATCATTCATTGATAACTGTAGTTCAATTATAAATACTCTATTTTTATATTTATTATATAACACTAGTTTTAACCTGTAAAAATTTAATGATTAAGTGAGTTCATTGTAAGTTTTATGCAATAAAATATCCATAGAAATTCTATTATTGCATCGTTAAATATTTTGAGCTTAAGAATTTTAACAAAATATTTCAATAACAATCATAAATATGAATGCTGGTTGTTATTTGGGGAAGTGGGTACAAATGAAAAGATCTGAAATTGATAACTTTTTTCATTTCCCTGAAACAGATGTTAAACATTTCTATTTTCCCTGCTTTCTTTCATTTTCTCACTGAAACCAAATAGTATCTTTCCCTTCTTTCCATGCAATCAAAACAGAATAGTCCATTATTTATTAGGTATTGGCAGGACATAACGGTCATGTGAACTAATCAAGGGAAGGACAAGTACAATTATAATAGGATAAATATTTAAGCTCTATAAATTTGAAGACATGCAGGTTCAAAAATGCAGTTATGAACTTTTGATATGAAATCAATACAGGTATATCTCACCCTACATCATTAATTGCTTCCTGAGGTCATGACTTAAGTCAAAATAACCACACTATAAACTGCATATCCTATTACAGTATTTATGATATGTACATACAGTATTCTGAATAAAATGATTTCTACCTTGTCTTCCTGCTATATAGCCTTATGCTTAGCACTGGGACTTTTCTTAGGAGCCATGGACAAAAATGTATTCTAAATTGTAATTGAAAGAATGTCAATAGCAGAGCTCAGATGTAAACAAGTTTGAATTCAAAAATTGGCATTGAAGTGGAAAACAATACGTAAGTGCTGTTGGCAGGAATTTTAAATAAAAATATCTACTGACCATACTTTATTATGGTAATTTTTTTTTGCTTTTGATAGTGTGTATATATATATATATATATATATATATATATATATATATATATATATATATATAGTATGCATAATATTTTTAAATATGATTTCATATCTGTACCTGTCTATATTTCTGAGATGAGGTATTATGTACACTATTTACATTATTCAGACTATTGTCCTCATCTTTGTCGCCACATTTATCACAAGGTTTTGGCTGTTGTACGCTCCGGCCTTCTTCAATACCTGCTTAAGGCATTGGAGAACTTGGAGAGGGGAATTAACAGGAGATAACTGATAAGTGACATCCATTAGACATGGCACGTGGAACTAGAACAGTCTTCCCCAGTGAGTGAAATGATGGGTTCAGTTCGACATTCCAACCACCTGATGAAGGTGGAATAGTTCAAATAATGTAAATAGTGATTTCATATCTGTTTATTGTTATTTTAGTGTTTTGACATTTCTAATATTTTTAATGTAAACTTGAGTAAAACATCCTAAGTTTTATTTTTCCATATAATAAATAAAAAAACACAACAAATCTTCGAAATTTATTTAAATTGAAATGACTTAAGCCAAGATATCACTGTATTATGCAGTTGTTAAATTGGGGGTGAAAAAAATGTATCCATTTACATTATTGTGATTATTGTGTATGAATTAAAATTTCCTTTCAAAGAATTCACTATCCCAATTATATTCAAAATCTAAGAAGGATGAAACAATTTATATAGAACTGGGTTGTATTTTTCTGCATTTTGTATACAATTAAAAACTTGGAATAATATGACAAAAGAATTGAAATAATTTTCTGCAATTCAAGTAGACAGGAGTGAACCTTTCAAAGCAGTTTGCTAAATGTTGCCTTTTTAAAAAGTCATACCAAACTATGACCAAATGTTATGACTGAACCCAGCAGAATCTAATGTTTCTGTTGGTTTCTTTGACAGCAATACTGCAGAGAGACTAGCATCATCTTGAAATGGTGACTTGTCAGTTTTAATGACGGTCTTTACATATGATAGATTTGACTATGCACTTTGAAATCAGTCAGCAATTTGTGTGCTTATTGATGCAAAGAGCTGAATTATTTAAAGTTACTTTAAGGAGAATACAGCAAAAGAACTGAAACAGTTTTGTGTAGTTCAATTAGATAAGAGTGAACCTTTCAATGCTAAATGTTGCTTTTTTAAAAGCTGCATCAAGCTAGGACTGAATATTTTGCCTAATATTTCTGCTGGTTTCTTTTTGGCAGCAATACCTGCAGAGAGACTGGCTTCATCTTAAAATGGTTACTTTGCAGTTTTAATGACAGTTTTTATGTGATCTGAAATAGGTCAGCAATTTGTGCCCTTATTGATGCAAAGAGCGGGATTTGAAGTTACTGTAAGGAGAAAATCTTGTTGGTGCTTAAAACAATTATTCAAAATTTCCCATCAGTGTGACATTCTTGTAAAAAGCTGAATAAACCACAAAATTGGCAAACAATGTTTATTTCTCCAAAAATTTGCTGTGAAAGCTCACTTTCTTGAAATGTATTTTTATTTTGTCTTTAATATCTCTGCCAGCAGTTTTCTTTTGTTTGTCAACTTTTCTTGTATTAAACTTTGTGTGATTCAAATCATTGACGTTTACATAAAATGAAACACAAAAATACACAATAGATATTAAGTGAACATAGTGCTCCATACCCAAAATATTACAGTTGTATTCTAATATACCTTAAAACAAAGGAAACCAACAATAACAACATCTGCAATAACACGTAACTAAGTTTCTTGCAGCAAAGCTATCATCAAACATTATAATACCTTCCTGAAATCAGACAAGGTAAATATCCTGTAATGTATTCAATATCAACAGACCTGTCTGTCTAGTAAATCAAAGATTGGGACTATGTGATCTGATGGTGCGTTTTGAGAGTAGAGCAGGCTTGTGGTTTTGGAGAGCATGTATTGTGTAACCTTTGAGAGCAGTTATGTTTTAGAGTTTGGACTGTATGATGGGCTATTAAACGAAAAATTGAATTATTACCTAAACACTCATTAATAAGTACCTTCGGTGCTATTTGCCTCCTCATTGATTTAGAGGTTGTGATTATATAAACGTTTGTATAATTTTGGGAAGGCAACACCTGATGATTGTTTCAACATATAAAAAATTTGTATTCTATTAGAGATCTTATTGTATTTTTTAAAATTAGCTAATATGTGAGCATTTGTATTTATAGAAAGAAATCTCAATTTGATGTAAGAACCTATTACAAAATTTTGTTTTTTATGAACGTCTAATCTTGGAGATGAATTTGACAAAATTCTAATTGGTGAACCAAGTTCAAATTTCAGTTGAAATGTTTGCATCAACTTTGCACTAATTCCCTTAGAGAAGGCATGAATCCATTTCTTCTCTTAACGGAAAAGTAGGGTAACTAATCTTACAAAAAAGACATCTCTGGATACAAAAGCAACCTGGAGAGGGATAGGTTCTGCCAGGTTATTTAGTCTTAGATACTACTATTACTGAAGAACATATTGCATCCCAGTGACCATAAAAGGGTTTATTGCATGCATTTAATTTTTGGAATGAGTGGAGAGGGAAGGTTCAAATTGCGGTACCTACCTTTGTTGGTATATTATCTGTCAGGATAGTTTTAGGAAAGTTTATGGAATTTAGTAATGAATTATTTTTGTAGCATTTACTGAAATAAAAAATTAAAACAAAACATTAGAGAAATAACATCTGAGAAGTCTAAATTCCTGAAAAACTGTTTTAAGAAAGAGATTTAAGTTTCAGTTGATAGTAATGTTTGGGAAATGAATGCTGAATGGGAATAGCTAATTTAACTATTATCAATATGGTGGAGAGAGAGAGAGAGCGAGAGCGAGAGAAAGAGAGAGAGAGAAAGAGAGAGAAAGAGAGAAAGAGAGCGAGAGCGAGAGAAAGAGAGAGAGAGAGCGAGAAAGAGAGATCCAAAGAAAGAGAAGAGAAAGAGAGAGAAAGAGAGAAAAGAGAGAAAGAGAAAGAGAAAAAAAGAAAAAGGTGTATTTAATATCATAAAATGCAAAAAAAAAAAAAAAAAGGGGCAAAATTTCTAAAATCTTTGCTATAGTCATTTTCTTTATTATGAACCATATAAGAGTAACTTCCAAGATATCTCACAAGAAATTCCATTCTTGCAGGTCTTCAGAAAATTAAATGACTCAATATGTAGATTGAATTGAAAGCAGCAATGATTTTTCTGGATATCTTGTTGATTTGATGCCACATGAAAATATCTGCTTTAAATGGTTACTGTGTCAGTATATAAAATGCTTAAAAAACAATAAATATTACACATTCTTTTTTTTAATAAGCAACTTTATTTAGATCTGACTTAATTTGAAGCAACTCCACTATTGACATCAGTGTAGTTTCAACAACTGAGTAAGAAAAAAAAAATGTATATTAACCTGACACTGTGCCCAAAAGCAATTTATTAGTGTTATAACAAGGAATCTATCTACAGAAATTCAAAAATGAACTTTAATGAATTTCAAGTAGACTTAAATACACTTGTAAACTATGCTTTTTATGGGACAATAAATATGTTAATTACTCAGTCAGTTATGTGCCATACGTGATACACGCTTAGGCGATCATATATCTTTTGATACATGACTGACAAGGCAGATTTTTTCCTGCAGTAGGTTGCCATTTCTTTCTGCAGTAGACCAGTTGCCATCCAAGGCTATAGAACCTAGTCTGTCCTGCTATTTACCCATAGCTGGGGAGAGAAGAAGAGTATTAGCATGTAAGTGAATGTAATGGATTTGACTGGAATTTGAACTCTGCTCTCCGAGTCCTCAATCTGAGCCACTATCCATTACTCCACCGTGCCTCCTCCTTGTTAATTACTACAAGAGAATACCTGAAAGAAAAAAATTGTGTAGCATGAGTAGAAACAGTAATTAGCATATACAGATTGAAACTACCCTATCATTTCCCTAATTTATATATACCCAAATAATTTGAGAATAGAATAGTCGATTATTTACAAACATGCTATTAAGCATTTTCCTTATATAATGCTTCACATGGTCCAACAAGTCAGTTATGGTAGAAGTTATTTCTGACTAGGTGATTTTACGAGTTTCTTTTTTTTTTTCATAGAGCATCCAGTTCAAGGGATCTAAGGCTAGAATAAGGGAAATATTTATAGGATATTAAAAAAAGATACAAAAAAAAAAAGAAAGTTATAAAAATTTAAATTACTTACTCAATAATATCATAGGTTGCTAAAGAAACACTCTTATTCAATACTGGATAAGTGAAATTGAAGCTATTCAAGATGGGCTGGAAAAACAAAACAAAAGACATTTTAAGTTGAAGAGAACACTAAATATTTAAAAAGATTAAATAGTTCCAAAAATTTATCCTACAAATATTCTTTTTCCAAATGATTAAAGTATTTTACAAATTTATAAATATTACTTGAAAACATGGCCTATGAGCAGGATTTTAAACTGGTTTCTGTAGAAGGCCTAAATAGAGCATCTGGCCCCAATAAGAAATCAGCAAATCACTATGTATTAATTTGAAAATCATCTCCATTATGAACTTTTGGATTCTGTTTAATATCTTGGGAGATTTCACAAAAGATTTCATTAACCCACATTTTTAAAACTGTATTTTTATTTCAACAATAGTAAAAAAACCTAAATTGTGTTTTCATGAGGTATCTGTAAGTTAATAAACATTGCCAACAATAGTGATTTTTCCAAACGTAGCTTGGATGTGGCACAAGGCCGAAAGTAAGGGGCACCCAGTGAGGATCGAACTCACTACTCATTCGTAATAGTTCCAGCGAGACAAGCAAAAAACCATTACACCATCTCGAGGTGCCCTAATATTTATGGTCACATAGTGGCCATTGTTTATACTACAAACGTAGAAAATATTCTGAAGTTGTTTTCCATTTACAAGGAAAATATAAAATATATATATAATTTTAGTTCTATCTCTGATATATATATTTATATATATATATATATATATATATATAAATAATTATCATATATATATATTTTATTTTAAGAAATTTTTTCATATATATATATATATATATATAATAATCTGCATAAAAAAATAACTTATTAGACGATATGAAAGGAATTGCTAAAAAATAAATAGACGGAACTTGTCTATATTATTTAATGAAAATGCATTAGTGAAAATGCTGCCTAAATACACATATATATATATATATATATATATATATATATATATATATATATATATATAACCTATTTATTACTTTTGTTATTTTTTTGATTACCCATATTTGAGTAAATACTCAGTTTTATTTATTAAACAGTATAACTTATTTTTCCTTAATAACATTTCTTGAATATTCAGGCCAGTAAATAAAAATAAAAAAAAATACTATTTAATAAATAAACAAGGTATCTACTCAAATATGGGTATTTACTAAAAATAACATTGAAGTAATAAAATATATACATGATAAAAATGTAATTTTATGGTATGGTATATTTATGGCTTAAAATATGAAGGACAGTAAATATAAAAGTGGATATTGAGGCTAACACCCAATGGCAACAATCTGTTTCCTGCTTAAGCACAATCTTCAGGCCATATATATATATCTTACTTATTATAAAATGCAGATTGTGTGTGTGAGTGTCTGTAACGTTTATATATTGGATCGGATTTCCTACATTTTTCAACCGATTTCAACAAAACTTCACAGGACTACATAAAATTACCTTGTGGTGGTTCTAACAGCGCCAAAATCAATTTGAAAACATGATTAAGAGACATCGTGAAAATAGAAGGGGGACAACTCACATCGGGTTGTTTTGTGTGTGGGTTCCTTTAAATATGGGATATATGGGTTTCCTATATTTTTCAGCCGATAAAACAAAAAAATTTTTTTTTTTTGGCAGGTAGTGTTTCTTATTCTCTTGCACACTTTTTTTTTATTTTTAATATTCAGAATGCTTTTAAAAATTCCATTTACAAGGCAATTGTTTATAATAAAATTCTATTCAATCGGGAGACTCATAACGATTGAAAATAATGTTTTTGTTTGAGTTTGACCAATTCGTTAAAAAAAACAAAAAAAAAAAACTAATTAAGACATGCGTGTCCGTCAACCTTAAACAATAATCTAACAATCTATACTGATTGTACGAATACAAACATCGGATAAATTCTTTATCTTTAGGGAAAGATAATGAAATCTAAACATACACAAGTCCTAACTAAAAATAATAACCAGAACGGGAAACTACTTTAAATACACATGGTGTCTAATTTTTTTACTGTATTTAATAAGTAAAAATCATAAATTGTAAAAAGATTATTATTACAGAAAGGCTACTAAATGAATAAGATTTGTTAAATCATAATTAATAAACCCAAATAAAGTTAATATTTTTTGTATTAGAAAAACGAGTGGAAAATATATTCAAATCAGAATTCTAATTATGAATCACCACAAGCAAAATATAGGTCTTTTTTTTTTACTGTATTCAATAAGTAAAAATCATAAATTGTAAAACTAAAAGATTGCAGAAAGGCTACCTACATTTTTCAACAGATTTCAATTTTTTTTTTTTTTGGCATGTAGTGATATTTTTTTTCTTTATTTTTACATTCAGAATGCTTTAAAAAATTCCATTTACAAGACAATTGTTTATAATAAAATTCTATTCAATCGGAAGAGACTCATAACGATTGAAAAACAATGTTTTTGTTTGAGTTTGACCAATTTGTAAAAAAAAAAAAAAACTAATTAAGACATATGTATATATATATATATATATATAAAAAATGATAATTGTTCAATTTTAAAGGCCAAAGAGCCACTGAGGTAGAGGTTACAGAGTAGGAGGCACAATCACAAGTAAGGTGATGATATATACCTATATACAAGGGGCCACAGGAAATGAAAGAGAAGAAAAAGACTTGAGGAAACTGGATGCATAATCCTAAACAGGAAACAAGGGATAACGTTTTAACTGTATGATAATAAAGTATGAGTTTAGTTATACTAACAGATATGAAAGGAAGTTCTAGTTTAGCATTTAATTCACATTGTAAGTTGAACGACTAACTAAAGCCTTAAGTTTTGGAATTTTCAAAAATTTTTTTTTTTTAAATCATTTCATCCCAAGCAAGGCACAAGGATACAAGAGGTTACTGAGAGTGAAAAAAAAACCCCAGAAAGGACAATAAAACAACAAGATTCAAGGAAACAAAATGACAATGCATTTAAATTTTTGAAGATCATAGTTAACAACTGGAAGATAATTTCACAAATAAAAAGTGTGAAACAACAAACAATTGGCATAGAAGTTATAGTTACAACTAGCAATTTCAACAGAGAAATTATGTAGACCTAACCGCCAATCTAGTACTGCCAATAAATTCATGAAGTATCAAAGAAGAATGATCAGAAACAATTACCATGAAAATATTTATAAAAGAGACAAAGGAGAAGCTACATTATGGCAGTGAGAAAAATGACTGAAATCAAGATGCCAGGTCAGGACCAATAATGTTGCTAATTTTTTTTTTTTTTTGTTGCTAAGTTTGTGAAGAATCTTAGAAGCACCAGTCCAAATGTGGCAACAATATTTAATGCACAAATGAATGGTAGACTTTTAAATGTGCAACATATATTCTGGTGAGAAAAAATGTCTAGCACCGTATAGTAGACTGACTTTCCTAGCAGCAGACTTAGCACTTGATTCAATATAATCATTACTCTTTATGTCAGTGAAAAACATTAGACCAAGCAGGCACAGTTCACTGTTCTCCTGGAGTTTAGCATCAGCCATGCTGAGGGAAGGTAAAAATGGTTCTTTAAGATGATAAATAGAGAGTGGTATAATTTTAGAGATGTTAAAATTAACAAGCCACTTGCTTCACAGTCCCATTATTAACTGTGGAATATTTGGTTACCATACCTCTAGATGTCAGTGAGTTATGCAATAACAGATGAACAAAATAGTATTTGATACATTAGGGTAAAACATAGCAAGTTAAAAAATTTAACATGAATCAAATTATTAGTTCAGCTTAGACTGCTCATGTTTACTTTCTCAGCTTCAGTCACTTTCCCACCACAATAACATTGCTTCCCTCTGCCTTTTCTATAAATACTTCTTATGGCAACTGCTACTAGACATGAATAGATTTGTTTAAAAACTGGGAGGAATTATATTTACTAGGCTTACTTCACATGATGCCAGAACAAATGTTGCATCCTTCAGAGAAACCAGGAGTGCATTGACCTGAGAGATTACTCCCTAGCCAGGCATAGAGATCTGTGATCCACTTAGTGACAACTCTGACAGAGTTACATGATTGGCTTAGCTACACCTAGGATGTGTGCATGTGAAAAATCATATAACAAGCAGATAAATAAACATTCGCTCCAAAGGAGAGAAAGAGGTCCTCCTGGCAAGTCCACTTTTGGACTCGAAACAACACCCACCCACTAACTAGTGATAATTGATGAAGTCCACAGAATAAAATGTAATGTAGGAGAAATTCATTCTTGAGATTTCATTAGTCAGCACAATGGCATTACACAATTATAAGTTAGACATTCAAAAGATTGTACAGTTTTTAGATGATGTCAATTTTAAAAAAAATTGACATTTTACTGGAGAGAATTCTCTCAGTAGTTACTTAAGGTTATTTGGGTAGAACTGAACAAATTTCATTTTGCATCAATTAACTTAGTTGACCTTTGAACAACACAAAAAGTGAGGATAGCAAAAAATAAAAAAGTTAGTCTTACCTTTAATTCAGTAGGGTTATCTTTGTTGAGATAGCGACATACTTCTGTGTACATAATTCCTCCAACAACAAATTCAATCAATACAATAATTACCAAAATCCAGCAGAATATGAAATAGAATCCAACACCACTGAAATTAGAAAAATATTTAAGATTTTTTTTTTTTTTTTTTTTTTTTTTTAAAAAAAAAAAAAAAAAAAAAAAAAAAAAAAAAGGTGTATTTTGGATTTTATATACTGATTAAATGAAGCAATATGAAAATTCTGGCTTAAAGTTTGTTAGATGAAGTGTTTTTGTAAGCGTTCTGGGATTGCAAAGGAAATATTTGTCATAGATTACTTCCCCAACGCAGAGAATAAATCACTAAGTTCAGACTTGAATATCGGGGACAGAAAGAAATACTGAAAACTCCATTCACAGGTACTATCTCACAAATCACAATGCATGCAACCAGTCAGAAAAATAACTCACTCACAGATGAATGTGGTAGCCAAAATACACCAATTGTATTTTTCTCCCGACTTGAGAACACCAACTGCTTTTATTGGCCGAGCATTTTTTTCCATGCATCGACAACTAGGAGAGGACGCTCAATTTTTGCATATCAAAATACCTTTATACCGACTCCTGTGACCAACTTGTTTCTAATTTATAATATTCCGTCTTCAGCATGTCATGCAGAATACATGCCCCTTTTTTTGGATTCTTTTGCGCCACATTTTCCGTTGTAGGATACACGCAACACGCTGTTGCTTGGTTTGATGAGGTAAGTCACCGTTTTCTTCGCCATAGTTTTAATCATTATAAATGGTTGAGTCAAAGTAATTTTCCCACATTTATTTGTTTTTTTTTTATCTGAATATTTTGATCCTGTACCTTTTTTCTTGTGGGGAACACTTGTAAATATCTTTAACATTTGAATATTATATAATGGTAATAATTAGAAGTCCAACAAAAAGTACTTCAGTTATATCTTAATTTTTAACAATTATTAGTGAAATAAGATGTATGAAAGAACAAGATAGCTTATAAAAATTCTTGTTTATATTTTTACAAATCAAATTTGTTTATGCTACCATATTAGATATGAAATACATACAGTGAGAGATTACATGGGGAAAGTGAGTAAACACAAGAGTGAATGTCTGGTTAGCAAGGTCAAATTACTGCTTTTAAATTACAAATTTCTCATGATTTCTCATATATGCTTAAAGCGTATCTTAATGTAAACAAATGACATCATATATGAAATGAACTAAGTCTGACAATTATTCTTATGCTTTGAGCAGATATGAGTGTTCAAGAAAAATCATAGGAAATTTGTAGTTTAAAAACAGTAATTTGACCTTGGGAGCCTAATAGTATACATGTTAGGCTATATGACAGTTCCATGTAGGATACAGTTCGATTCCTCTTGAAGGACTCATATTTTTTATGAAATTTCCAATATTCAGGCCGGTAAATGTTAATACTGTTTATCATAAACAGAGCATTTACTTAAATATTTGTATCTATAAAAATAATGCATAAACAGAAAATATATTAAAATAATTGTCATACTTAGTCCATGTCTAAATATATATATATATATATATATATATATATATATATATATATATATATATATATAGTTTCAAGGTATGCTATATTTAAGAGTTAAAGTGCTCAATATCAGGGATAAAGCATATGCAAATATAAAAGTGTACATTGAAATCAACACCCAAAGGCAACAGAGTTTCATGCTAAACACAATCATCATGGCCTGATGATTGCATTTAGCATGAAACAGTCACCTCTGTCAGTGGAAGTTTGAAAGAAAGGACATTTAAGGCAAGCAGTCTTTGCCATAAAGTGCTCTATATAAGAGAGCATTAATACAAATATGAAGTTTGTCACTTAGCTGATTGATATTATATTCAGTACCCCAACTCTAGAGTCTCTTAGAAAAACCTTTTTGTAATTGTTTGGAGTCAATTGCTGATACCTTCTGATGAGTGGACTGGAAATTACAAAAAGGTTTGTCTACAAAACTCTAGAGTAAGGATACTGAATCAATCATAAAGTAACAATATATATATATATATATATATATATATATATATATATATATATATATATATATATATATATACCTAGTGATAAACAAACCTACCTAGGTTTCACCTAAACGGATTGTCAGGGAAAGTTTGGCCAAACTTTCCTGACGATCCGTTTAGGTGAAACCTAGGTAGGTTTGTCTGGCTCACTAGGGTGTATCTAGGTCTGCTCTATGGTTGTATTGAGCGCTTTTGTTAGTTAGTTGTTACTCGTATCGGGTTTTTTCTTTGGGCTTCAGACCTGCATCTGTGCGATTTTTTTTGTCGGCAGAAGTTCATGTTTGTAGCTCTTTCTTTTTTTAAAAACTTTTTTCCCTCGAAATTGATTTGATTAGCAAATCAAAAATTTGAGGGTTTTTTCGAAACGAGTCTAGTTATATATATATATATATATATATATATATATGTTATTCCCCCTTAGATCAAGTAAAAGTCACTGGTGGCCCTCTCATAAAAATCTGGAAAAATTCACGGGTGTTCCTTGATTAAATTTATTGATGAATCTCAAATATTAAATCTGTAACTTTAATAGTTTTAAAATCAGAGTATGTTGAAATTTCACATCTTTTTGTTTTGCTAAATAAAGCGTTCAGTGAATTTCTGACATTCATAGTTCCAAGTATATAGAGATTTATTCGAAACTTAGTGATAATATTTATGGTAGATTGCAAAAACAAACAGCCAAAGTGTGTCTTGTGTACTTTTATTTTATAAGAATCTGAATATGGCTAAAATACCAAAATGTCACTGTCCACTTCAAGAGATGGTCACCTATGGCTGAGGTGGAATAATCCATAATACACAGAGAACGAGAGACATACACACACACAAATTTGAGCCCTGACAACAAATAATATTCAGATGGCTTCATTTACTTACAATTTTGTCCAGATGCAAAACTAGTGTGAGGCAACATTCATTTTGGCTGATTTACAAAATTCAAAAGGTATATATTCATACAAATACTAAAACAAACATTTTCTCCCTCCTCATTGGACTTTTCCCGGTGGAGAGAAAATAAAAAGAGATTAGAATGAGTGTAGTGAATTGTCAACACTTACGCCAGGAGAAAGTTTGCAGCAATTCCTCGGTTACAGCAAGGTGCATTTTCCCCAGGTCTTTCACCACACAATCCAAATAAGATACCAAGGTAATTGCAGACAACAATCATCAGTAGTATAGATGCAACACAAATGCCAATATACCACCTAAAGAAAAAAAAAAAATATTGATTGAATGGTTGTTACTTTATTAAGTAGATGGTCAAAAAAGATTAATTCCTAAAATTGCAGGATCATTTTCATTAAACTACACATTTGCTAAAAGCTTTTTGAATTTAATCCATTAACTTCAGCAGAAATCTGTCATTTACAGTTGAAACACAAAACTGCAATGATAGCGACTCAAGTCATCCACAGTTAGATTAATTACAATAGAGGAAAATAAATTCTTTAAATTGTTAAATGTCTATACTAATATAGAATGACATACAATCTACTCAGTTTATAAATTCAAAATTAAATTTATTAAAAGGATAAGTTTCTTAAAGACTAAATCATAAGTTATTCATAATTAATTATAAGCAACAGAAGTGGTTTTCATCAAGTGAAATATTCAGCATAATTATCCCTTGTCTTTACTCAATGTGTAAACTGAATTCTAAGTAATGCATAGTACACACACACAGACATTATATAATGAGGACATTATATAATGTGTGTGTATAAAAATGTTGAAATAAATTTATAACCAATTATATGAGGAATAATTAAGTCTTTTCCTTATTTATTTGTTTTATTTATATTGCTCTGTATATAAATGTTTACATTGAGCTCTCATCATGGATTTAACTTTTTAATATTTTTATATTAAAAGACCTTGGAATAATCCCTACTACCTATGGATTGTGTGTGTGTGTGTGTGTGAATATATATATATATATATATATATATATATATATATATATATATATATATATATATGTGTGTGTGTACAAGAATTTGTAGAACTAATTCTGACATGCTTGCTGAGCAAACTGCAACCTCAGAAAAATGGATTTTATTTCAACCAAATCTATATTGGATTATTTCTGTTAATCATAAGAATGCTGCATTTTTTTTCAGCATTCATATGACTTACATGAATCATGTGACATCAATGCAGATTTGATTGAAAATAAATCCATTTTTCTTATGACACTGATCAGTGAAACATGTCAAAATAGGAACTTCCCAAAGTGTCTTTGTGGAGAAACAACAGAGGGTCTTAGTAATATTTATCAGAAACTTTAGATATACAGAGTGACTCCTCTTCAAACGAAAGTATTTAATTTTAAAATAATGCAGTTACTTTGGAGACTTGTTACAGCACAAATCTGCCTATCATTTTGGGCTTCAAAAAGGGTGGGAAAATGTTCAGACATGGGTTTCTAGCTGTCTCTCTCCTGGTCTTTTACATACAACTTTGAAAGGCTTCAGATTTGGCCAGAATCAAAACTTTCCTTGTTTTGATTAAGAAAAATTATTTTATTTTCCAAGGTTTCTTTCATTTTCTTTTTGTATAGCAGATGTGTGGAGCCTCTCTTCATTTTGGTTGATTTCTAGTCATAATAAACAAGGTCTTGAACTAGTAAACTTCTGCTTTGCAGCCGTCATTCAGTCTCTACTTCTTTTTTATAGTTGTGAGAGAAGTAGAGAGAAGGGGGGGGGAGCAGTTGCCTTATTTTATATTTTATTTTTACATTTGGGTATGCCACATCTTATTTACCATTCTGTCAGATTTCCATCCAAATTTAAGGCATGTATAATGGTATTATGATAAATGGCCTGGTAATTCCATAAAAAGAAAAGACAAAAACGAAAGTGATTGGGAATGCTAAATATTTTAGTGAAATTCATGTATGATTTGAGATTTTAATGGATAATATGACAAGTTTTCAATTCCCTGTTTTTAGCTTCAGAAATATGTGGTCATATTATGCATAAGAAAGTACAGCAAATTTAATAAGTTGAGCAATTTATAGAAGAAAGAGAAAAATATTAGGAACTCACGGAATAGAATTGTATAATTTATTAGAGTTGTACAAATTCATTGCGTTATTCACTTCTTCATCTATTTCTTTTGTTGGTAACTTCTGCAAAGAAAAAATATATACACATTCAGATATGTTCACAAATACATTTGAAACTTTCATATCTTAATTGGTGATTTTATTTACAATTACAAGAAATGCAGGTAGTATTATAGTTATCAGCATGGAAAGTGGGACTGATGATCAAAGTTTAATTTCTGCGTTAGTTGCCAGTGCTTACATTTGTACTACTGCCCCTGGGAAAGGCATGAATTCATCACCTCTTCCCCCAGCTATAGACTTGCATGGCAATTATTCTATTAAATAGAAAACTGAATTCCAAATTGTGAAGGCAACAGAAAGCCTCTATCTTTCCAAAAAGAAAAGCATGGCAATTCACAGATGAGAAACTTGAAGGGAGACCACTTTAAGGAAAAAAAAAAAAAAAAAAAAACCAAATAGCTGGATCTGTAGAAATTCTATAGGTTTGAGTCTCGGACTTAGATCTGTTACTTGAATATAGGGTGAAATATTAAATTTATTTTATTTTTTTAAAATGAGTTTCAATATTATTTTTTGGGAAAAAAAAAAACAAAACAAAACTAACTTCATATTTCCAGGATAATTTTACCTTATATTCAAAGAAGAAGAATGTTGGCCTAATGATTTGACATTTGCTACCTTCTCTTTAGTTTGGAAGTTTGGATTATGCCAAGATTCACCCAATAAAATCTCTATATTGATCTTAATAAAAGTTCAAGGGACAAAAAGGCTTGTCTTATTTGTTTTTATTTTATGTTTTCCTCAACAGGAGTAGATAGGTTTGTCTATCATCCAGTTTAAACTCCTCCCAAATCTTTTGAACAGGAGTAGAGGATTATCTCTTGTTTCCTGATTAGGATTGGGTTTCTGGTACTTTCTAAAGTTTTTTTTCTTTCTCTTTCACTTTTAGTAGCCCCTTGGATCTTAGTGGCATTATTGCCTTGCTTGGGATGAACTGATTATAAAAAAATTTAAATTTTGAAGCCTAGATGTGTTTTTAAGCAGGAAGTGTAAACATACAAACCAATAGAATATTTTCTTTGAAGTTATTTCTAAAGTTGTAATATTCAAAAGGAGAAAGAAGCAGAATAATATTACAAATATCTGCATCATGCCATTTGAGGTAATCATTCATTGTTACTGCATACACATCTTGTAACCCTTTATAGCGTTGTTGGGATATGATATGAACTGCAGCACCCATCAGTGTGTTTAAGACAAGAGTCTTCAAGTGGACATACCAATGCAGGCTGGTTGTCAATACAAGCTATCTTCCTAGCAAGGCTAAGTACCTAGTCTGCCTTTCTATTTCACCCATAGCTAAGTGGAAAGGATATTGCTATAATGTCAAAGTAAACTGGCTCACCAATTGCATTTTCTATGAGGATGGCCATTATGTCAATTGTACTTCCAGAAAATTGGAATGTTTCAGAGAGAGAGAGAGAGAGAAAAGTAAAAAAAAGTTACTAATACCCTGAAAAAAGTTTAAAGAAAATGGAAAGAAAAAAAAAATCTGTAAAATTGTATTTAATGTTTCTTTTATAATGAAAAATGGTTAACATTTTGCATATTGTACTCATGAGAAATAAAACTAAGAAGCTGATATATTGTACAGGATAACAAAAACTAAGCAAATTTATAGAAATTAAGGTACTTACTTTTTTTATATCAGCAACATTGTTTAGTGTATTGTCCATCTCATTTGAAACTTCTGTAAAGCCCTGTTCAATAGCTGATTTAAAAAAACAAAAACAAAAATTACAGAAATATACTAAAAGTAAAATAATCACGTAATCATCCCTTTCAGATTAGTGAAATATATAAAAATTGATATATAACCATTGATTAGCAGAAGTGGAGCGAGTTTAAAGCTGAAGGTGTGTTGTGGTTATTTAATCTACTTCTTAATTTATTTATATATTTATGCTACTTTTTAATCTTTCAAAATACCTTTATTAGCAGATCAAATTGCAAGGAAAGGAAAAAATTCTTGTAGATTTCTAAACAGATGCAAGGAAATCTGAATCAAAGTTAATGTCTATCAGGAATGGCAGGCAGGCAAGGAAACAAGCAGACAGACATTGCAGAGGTAGCCTACTATTATCAATGAGAATATATCCACTTCACTGTAGTCTTGATTTTTTTTTCTATTGGATTATTTCATCTTTTCATATTCATTGTTGTTAATGAAAAGTATAATGTTTTCCACAAGTTAGACAAAGAATGTTATCTCCTGGATTCATATGATTGTCATGTCCATACATCCAATGAAAATTTCTAGTCATGGTTTGGGCTGATTTGAAAAATTCATTAGCCTGGTGAATGGTAAGTACTTAGCTGCATGTGTCGATTTGCAGATTATTTGAAACAGGAACAGTCACCATGCAGTGTTGATTGATTCCTCTGTCCACATTATGTCAACAAATGTTCTATAATTATATATATATATATATATATATATATATATATATATGTGTGTGTGTGTGTGTATTTAGGCAGCATTTTTTCAGTCATACATGTTTCATTAAATAATATAGACAAGTGTTGTCTATTTATTTTATGTAAATTTTTTTCATAATGTCTGATAAGCTTAATAACATTATCATTAAACGAAGAAAGAAAATCACAATATTGATACATATTTTTTAATCCAATCTGAGCTTTCAGCTTAAATAAGCCATTATCAAAGATGACGATTACAGTACAATATATTAAGCAATATACAGACAAGACAGTGATGATATTCTATTTCTGTTTACATGGATGATTTCCAATCAACGATAAACATGCGCATATAAGACGCTGGAAGCGAAAATCACACCGCATCTCATGACATCACACATGACCATGCGAGAGTGAATTCGAGAAGTATTAAGTATGAGAAGCCATTGGTATAAACCAATGGCTTCTGTTACCAATTTAGACATTTAAGGATATTTGTGGAGATTTCATAGTTTATTTTGTTCAGGTTAGGTTTCAACTGTTATGTATATAGCTTCAAGAATTTTTAGTTTTTGTTTATTGTTTTCATGTTTAAGTATAATTGTGTTTTCAACAAGGATTTTACGGAATTATGTGTATGGCCAGGCATGTTTTAAATGCCTAAAAATATCTCCACAAATATCTTATATAAATATATCTATAGACAAATCTTTTTGATGGGTACAATGCTAGTGTTCTTTGAAATAGCAACTGCTTTATTTTCATTTTGTGTTTACTTTAACAATCAATAAATGTACTTAGTACGTTTTAATAAGATGCAACATTAAAATGGTGAACTAGCTTATTCTACAAAACTATGTGATGCTCTTATATTTATCAGCTACAAAACATGATCGCCACATGTTAAGGAGACATTCCATTGTTATGGCAACTAGAAAAATTACCAGATGCCATTAAGTGAACAGATCTCTTGTAACCTTAACGGAATATTAGTAAGTAGTGGGGAGGTTAAGATTTTTTTAAATTTTAATTTTTTAATTTTAATGACTTAAATGGGCAAAATTCTTCCTCGCATACAACAATAGTGTAGATGAAAATAGATAAAATACAGAAAATATAAACAATGAAATTGAAAAATTACTTAAATCAGAATTCTGAGTATAATCATTGAATATAATTCCCTTATTTTGGGTGATTGGATAAGAGACGATAGTAATTATATAGCTGTGCTCCAGCACTGCTACAAAGATAAAATGGAGATGGCAAAAGCAGTACACAGGAGTGTCTTTCACTGGGCATAATCCATGAAACGAAGATTAGGATTTTGGTCCGACCCTTCAAGCAGCAGTTACTTTTATTCAATTTTTATTAATCAAAGAATATATTTTTTTCTTTTTTCCTCAGTGGTCAGCTTCATGCAATCTTCAGGTGCTGATTGAAAACTTTTCAAACAGGACCTGAAGATTATAGTTGTACATGAAACAGAGGAAAAAAATATATATTTAGCTGTTATTCTACATCAAGCACTATTATATTAACATCAGCACTCAATATGTGATATCTCACATAAATGACATTTAGCATTTATTTTCATCCTAAAAATGTGTATAATAATCACAAAATTCCCTTGTTTTTATGACATTAATCCAAAATTCCCTAATTTACCTTAAAATCTTTTTCTTTTTAATTCTGATTTCCAGGTTGGCTGTAAACCCTGTTAAATATTGTGTTCATTTTTTTTTTTTGACAGTACAAGATGTAATAAATAATAACAATAATGAATGTGATTCAAATTCCACTTGAAGCCTAAAAAGAAAAAGAAAAAAAAAAACAAACTTACTTTGATTTTGCTTGCTGATAACATCAGTAATGTTTTTAGAAACAGAATCAAATTTTTTCTCAGCCTGAAAGATATTTAAAAGGAAAGAATGCAAGTCAAAAGTAGATATAGTACTTCAAAAGAAGTAAAACCTTACTTTAGTGACAAGTTACAGATATTAGCATCAGAAATACCATTTCCATCTTGACAGGATTTTTAAAATGTTTAAAATAATATAAACTCATATCAAGTGCTTTAAATCTTCAGTTGGTTCTATCAAAATTGTTTCCAAGCAATTAAAAATATTTACGTTATTTACAATTAGATCTTATGTTCTCATCTTTGCTGTTATTATTACAATGTTTTGGCCATTGTGCCCCCTGGGACAATAGATTAGAAAAAGCATTTGTTCATTAATTTTGTAACATTGTAATTGTGAGTTCAATTCCTGGGTTGGGTAATACAGACTCACTTGAAACAAGGCAAGTAATAAGTGAACACCAATAAAGAAAAAAATAAAGAAAAATAATGTAATATTTTTAGACTTGCAGAATGCAAAAATTCTATTCCATAGATTGAATAAATGGTTCGGTTTGAAATTCCGTAAATGTTACATTGATCAGGCACTTTAAGAAGGCTGGAGGGTACAATAGAGGAAAAAGAATGAGGAAAAAAATTTTTCCCCTCCTAATATCAATTGCATTATATATATATATATATATATATATATATATATATATATATATATATATATATATATACACACACACACACAACAATTTCATGCACAATGCAAACGTCAGGTGCATATTGAAAACTGAGTTTTCAATCCGCATCTGACGATTTCATTGTGCATGAAACAGAATGTATATTTATTATAAGTATAAAGTTTAGATGTTATTAAACATCAAGCACTGCTTTATTACCACTAGCATTAAATGTACAACTATGTGTGTGTGTGCCTAACCAGAGAGAGGAACAGTGAACTTGGCCCAATTAAAACTGATGGACATTGTTCCATATATAAGGGTTAGTAGGATCAGATAAGTTGTTTTTAAAAAATTTGAACTAAATGGTTCTGATTGAAAAATGTCCTAGATTTATGGACCAAACCAGAGCAGCTTATATGTTATCAGCTGAATCCCTAGAAGTTCAAATTAGAAGCTCTTCTTATTGGCCCTAAAATATTTGTTTATTAGGTTTACTTCAACTTACTACAGTCGTTTGGTCAGAAGTGCTATCTCTAAATTGACCTGTGTCAACCACTGATGAGTTTTAAAAGGTCAGCACCAACTATCCCAGATTCATCCATTATCAGGTTTTAAGGGCCAGCCATCTGGCTATTAGACACACCCAAACAAACAGCTGTTGACTTTGTAATAAGAGATTCAATGAGTCTTTTTACAGACTAATATCCTCATCAGTTTTCCTTAAGTATACATTTTATTCACTAACTTCAGAACAACCCCCCTCATATTATGTAGGCTAAATTTTCAAGATATTTGCTATCACTTTCACCAAGTAGGTGTAGGAAGTGACATTGTTTGGTTGGTTAAATAGTTGCAAAAGTCAGAGCTTGAATTCCGGTAACGACCAAGACCATGAATACAGATTTGTGTCAAGTAGGCAGGCATCCCCAAATTAAGAATAGTGTCATAAAATAGCATGTCAATAAATTTTAATCTTTAACATTACATTATCTTCAACTCCTGATTTTATCAATTACTGTTGGGTGTGTGTGTGTATATATGGTCCCATCACTCATCAGAAATGTAGACCATATATTTATTCCTGCCTATTTCCTTACTGGTGTGGGTGGGTATTTATATAATTTCCTGTCTAGTGTTTTTTCTCATGCACACATATCAGGCATTGCTAGACCAATATGTATTCCTGGTAGAGTTTCCACTGACATTGGGTGAATCACATCTCTTTACATCTCTTTCCAACTGGATAGGAAGTTATCTCAAATTAACCAGATTATTGTCTCTCTTGATGGTCTGGCACACTATTGAGAGCAAGTTCTACTCTGCCATGATCTGGAGTGACAACACATTATTATCACACAATTTTATTATGCAATTTTTTAACTAATTGGGCTGTGGCTATAATAAGCAAAGCTCAGTACATAGTGAGTCAGGGAAGTTGAAAATTTTCATTTACTCACAAAAATTGTTTCATTCTGAAGGAACTTTTTAAAGAAGAAATAAAAATTTTATTTGAATATTGTACAATGATTCATTTGGATCAAAGTGTTCTGCTTGACATTCTTGAAAGGTTATGGAAGGTAAAAAAATGCCTGAAGAAAATCAGAGACTACAATAGAGAAAATATGAGAAACGGGAATAATTTTTATGCCAACAAACATGTCAAGTTTATTTTGTTGCCTCAAAGCAGAAAAAAATGTGTAAATTGTTCAGTAAAATACGATACAAAGGACTGTTTGAAATAATAGGAAAGCTTGATTTATTTAGGAAAGATACTAGAATAACCCAGAACATACTGCGAGGAAACCACTGGCATATGGAGAGAAAATCAATCCAGTAAATACATAAAAATAGAAAGGGAAATAACACCAGTATGCGTTTTCTCACTGGACTTATTCAAATTTTACGAGGTAAATCTAAGTTAACAAGTCCTACCAGGATTTACTATTGGTGACCACAATCTTTAGAAACACATAAAGGAATATGCAGGAACTCCGAGAGAAGATAGTAAAGGAAAGTGAAAAGAAGGTTGTCAGCAAGATGAACAGTTCAAGAGTTGAAGTACTAATTGGAAATACAAAAAATTAAATATCTGTGTAGTGTTTTAGAAGGATGGAAAACGTTACAAAATCCAAAGGAGCATTGGAATAGCAAAAGATTTACCAAGTAAAATTCCAAAAATTAAAAAAAAAAATTTCAAAAAGGCTAAGCAAAATATTAAGAAACATAAAAATTTAATTAAAAATAAAAAAAAGTGTGCTATGTAATATCACCATAAAGGACGAAGAGGAAACTTAAGGCAACAAAAATGAAGGTTCTACAGGATACTGTGAATATCATAGACAGATACAAAGTATAGGAAGTTGTGAAGAGCCATGATTGATCACATTCTGAAAAGGACGGAAGAAATATATAGTAATTTTTTTTGAGCTTACCTCTTTTGCCAAATCAGGAATATTCAATAAATTATTTAGTTTATTTAATAAATCAGTTTGGTTATCCAACTGAAATGAAAAAAAAAATTTAATTTTATCTTTTCAATTTTGAATAAATAGTGACAAAAATGAAACATTGTGTCTTCAGTCTTTTCCAAGATTCCCAAATTGAAAAAAAAAAAAAAACACCCATGCAACACAAAAAAACATGCACACACACACACACACACACACAACACAAAAAAACATGCACAAGGAAAAACACAAAAACACGCACAAGGAAAAACACAAAAACACACAAAAAATATAAAGAAAATGCTGATGTAAATGATTATGATACTGTCAAAGATGATAATATCTTTCAGTACCACAGATTTTCTTGTCAGTTGCCTGACCATAATCAGGTGGACATGTACCCTAAAAGTTAAAACTGTACATCTTTATTTATGAGTGATAGTAGTGAGAGAGCAACATGGCTGGGTGTCAAGAGGGTGCTTGTTTTTAAGTTTGAAGGAATAATTAACCAAGGCAACTTGGGAGTTACATCTAGATACTTGGAAATATCTACCCTACCCCAAAAAGTACTGGACACCACCTGCAACCTCATGTGTTGCTGTTATTAAAACCTGCCACCATATCTGACAAATTTGGTTGTGATGTATGAGCCTGGTATAACCTTATCAAACTGACTCATGATGGGTTTATTGGATTTTGTATATTTGTAGCCCAGTGTTACTTTGTTGCCATGCTGATAGTAACCATGATAAAAAAAGTCAAATTACTAAAACAAATGAGCAAAGATATTCATTCACTCTAATGATTACATATCAAGTCACATAGCAGAGTTAGTCTTGGGTAAAGCTATGAACTACATCCAGCAGCAAGGCCACAGATTGGAGGTTTTGAGTGTGGAAGCACCTCTGCTGTTGTTCCCAGGTCCACCCTGACCCTGGGTGGTAGAACCTGTTAGGGTCACAACTATGCACAAATAGTTAATCTGCACCCCCCCAAAAAAAAGAAAACTGGGGTCAAAACACTATGAAAATATAAATACTAGTAATACATTGTCTATAAAAAAAAAAAAAAAAATGCCAACAGTACATTTTTGTAAAAGAAATTACTAATGCGACCAAGAAAATTACATTTTGGCATTAAATGACTCAAGAGGAGTTGGTATGCCACTAAACAAACACATGGCAAAGTGGGGTATGAAATAATAATCTCAATTTTATTTTAGAGTTAACAGTATTTGTCAATAATTTTTTTTTATATCACATCCTAGACTTTACTGTTATTCAAAACATTTCACCATTCATCTTTAATCAATTTGTACATTAACAGACAAAATATGTCTGTTGGTAAGGAAAAAAAAAAATTGATTCAACATTTACATTATTTGGACTATTGTCCATCTTTGCCACCATATTTATTACATTTTGGCCGTTGTACGTTCTGGCCTTCTTCAGGTAGTTGGAATGTCAAACTGAACCCTTTATTTCACTCACTGGGGTAGACTGTTCTAGTTCCGTGTGCCATGTTTAATGGATGTCCGTTATCAGTTATCTCCTGTTAATTTCCCTCTGAAAGTTCTCCACTGTTACTGGATCTAACTAACGCCTTTAGGCGTTAGTTAGATCCAGTGACAGGACCCAAAGAGTGTGAGTTCAATACCCGGTTAACTTTCAGAGGGAAAATTAACAGGAGAACAGTCTACCCCAGTGAGCAAAAATAAAGGATTCAGTTCGACATTCCAACCACCTGAAGAAGGCTGGAATGTACAACGGTCGAAACATAATAAATATGGCAACAAAGATGAGGACAATAGTCTGAATAATGTAAATAATGTACATAATACCTCATCTCAGAAATATAGACAGATACTGATTCAACATTGAAGTTTACTACTTTTTGAACTTAACGAGTGATAGATAGAAGAAAGTCAATTTAAAATTTAATACCATTGAGCTTTCAAATGGAATCTAATTTATTATTTGTAATTCAATCTGGTAATCCTAATAATCATTCTAAAAAACATGCACTTAAATTTACAATTACAGGTAAAAAGTAAAACATTCAAACTTACCATAGAAAACTGAGCATTAACAGAAGTACTATCTATATAGCGTTTAAGCTGTTTACATTGCTCATCAGCACAATTGGATAGTTTGGCTAAAACATTTTTTTTCACTTGATTTACTTCATTTTTTAACTTGGAACCAGTTGCACTCAGATTTGCAAGAGATTGGCTCAACTGGGCAAGAGAAGATTTCAGTTCAATAACACCTGTGAATGGAATATAAAAAGTTATTGATAAATTTCACATATGCTTCTTAAATAATTCATAGCAAAAATGTCAAAATCAAACTATTTTTGCAAAATGGGTCTCACTTCCTCATGAAATTTTTATTTTTAATGTTTTTGAGATGATTAAGTTGTCCAAAGGGAATTGATTCATGTTAACTTGGAATAAGAGTTAACTAATATATATATATGTTTTAAGGTATGCTATATTTACGAGTTAAAGTGCTCAATATCAGGGATAGATTGTATGTAAATATAAACGTGGACACCGAGATCAACATCCAGATGCGGCAGTTTGTTTCATGTTGAATGTAGTCATCAAGCCTGACAACTGTGTTCTGGGTGTCAACTACAATGTCCACTATCTGTGGATAAATAATTGAAGTGAATCCTAATAATATAAATATTAAAACTGATCCACAAAGAGAGCTCAATGTATTTATTACAGAGCATATATAAATAAATTACATATAAATGAAATTCAATAATTTATATATGTTGAATTTCATTATATATATATATATATATATATATATATATATATATATATATAGGAAGGAAAATTCTCAGTTTCTAAAAAAAAAAAAAATTTATAAACCACAATTACTTTCTTTTTAATCATATACATCTCATATACTTGGTTCAATATTCTTTTGCAATAGCAGTGGATCGTTTTAGACTGGCGTATTGGTAGAGATAAGTACAACGTTTTTGACATGGATACATAGAATAATTCAAAATTACTTATTGATATTGCATATAAAAAAAAAAAAAACTCTTATAAATGTATAAAGTGCAAACAATTCGAAAAAACGCCAAGATTGAACTGTGTACTGTTTACTGATATTAAGAAATGACGAAGTCAAAGTTTATCTTTAAAGAAATTAAGAAAGATAACCGATATATTTAAACTAGAGTTACGACCCCTGAAAGATACCGGTTTTTCTATCATTGATGAAATTAAAGCGTCTTCATGATTAGTGGCTGTGTATCAGTAGACTACAGCATATGTAAATTTTGACTGAAATAAAAACTAGACAAATTTTATCAATTAGATAAAAAAAAATTAAATTACTAGCTATCTGTATAAAATATATTTCAGCAGTAAGTTTGTTTTTTTTTTCTGCAAAGTATCAAGAAACAAAAATATTGTTAAAAAAATAGCCAGATATTTATATAGAAATTTAAAATACCTTTCTGAAAGATGCAAAAGTGCTAACAGTAAGAATTTTGTTTATTTTGGTGAAATTGAAGAAAGAACTGCTTTGATTCGTCATAGGTCGTCAGAACTCCATTTCTTTAACACAAATGAAAGTACTCACTTTGATATCCATGGTTCATATGACTAAAATAGACATTAATTTTGTTTGGCATTGCACACACTTCCAGAATACTGACCCCTAAATACTAGGGTTATAAAACATCTTTTCTGACCAATCAGAAAAAGCCTACATACAGCAGACATTATTGAATGATTATAAAGTCAACACCAATTTCAAGACTGCCTAGATGTCTTCAGTCAGTGATGAAAACAGCAGCAGCAGAGACTACCTCTCGACTACACATACATGTTGATTTTCTCCACGTCTATCTTGACTACTAAGCTTGAATAGACTCTCAGTGTTTAATAATGTATATATAATATGCCAGAACAAGCAAATGATCAAGCCTTGTGAACCATGACCCTTTTTATTTATCTCAACCATGTCATCTCCACATTTTTCTCATAAATGGCAAGAGAATATTTCTTTATTTATATATATATATATATATATATATATATATATATATATATATAAAAACTTGCATCTACTTTAACTGAACAGACACCGGTTTTATTTCTTAGTAGTTTATATCAAAAGAAAATAGCCACCTCTTTTCATTCAGTAATATGATTATTTTACTGAGTTAAAAATTTTAATGGACATAAATTTTTTAATTGTAAGATTTTTTTTTCAGTTCTTTCTGGTACTGAATTTATCAAAATTGAATTTTCTTTTCTGACAAGACTGAAATCAAAACAAAGTAAATCTTCCTCATAAGGCTTTCTGGAAATGTCCCATTTTCACAACACCAAATGGCCCAGATATGTTTAGTAGGAAATAGCCTTAACCAAGTGTGTTAAGTAGCTTTTTAAACCAGCCACTGTGATTTTTTTTTTGTTCTATGGCATGAAAATATTGTTCACAAAAAGTAGTGTTTTGTTTCTCCCCACCCACTCAGTCTAGACAACCTGGGTAGAGCAATAAAAATGATATATTTAAAGAAAAAAAAAAAAAAAAAAAAAAGAAAAATAGGTTTTTAAACCTTAAATTAATCAGGGCAAAATTGGATCTTTGTGCCTGCAAAAACCAGTGTCAAAAGGACAGCTTTTCCAATGAAACCACTACTGTGTGAACTAACTTTGCTCCTCGGCAATGTTTATTGTTTTAGAAAGCAATCATTAGAATTGTGACAAAACCTAAACATATGAAAAGTTGAGAATTGACAACAAAAATAAACATTTATTAGACTGTTTATTGGAATCGTTGGCAAAACACTGGTTAATTGCCAATTAACTTTGAACTTTATAAAATGGTAAATAAGGATTCACATATTTTAATAATTTAGTAAATGTTTATAAATTTATGAATAAAATTTGTTTTCATATTTATTTCTTTAGTAATTGGTAAAATGATAAATATTGTATTAGTTTTTTTCAATGTTGTAAATATAAAATTCTTGTAAAAAAGCAATATAATAAATAGTGTTTGTTGTAAATTCTCAGGAACAATAAATGAATACACTCACCATATGTTTATGTTTTATTACAATTATAATCATCACTTTTTGAAATGTGAAACATTAAAGAGAAGTGAAGATAATTAAAACAGTAGTGTCAATGGAAAAGCCGTCCTTTTTGTACTATTTTTTTGCAGGTACAAATGTTCAAGTTGGCCAAAATCAGAAAATTACAAGATTTATAGAAATTTTCAGAAATTATTTGGTAATAGAATTATATTTTAAAGTTCTAATTTTGTAGAAATATTTTTAGGCCTGTCACTAAATTAAAATATACACACACACTGGAATAAATTGAAATGGATATCTGTCAGGAGGGCTAATTTCCTTTTCTATCTGGCAACAACCCCTGGATAATAGGAAAAGAGTATAAATTGGCCCTTTGAATCATTATTTTTTATTCTGTATTTAAATTGAATGTTTTCTAATAAATGTTGTATTTTAAATAGACAATTTAGATTTGAAATTTGATCATCTTACTTTCTGAGTTTACTCACCATTGCCAAAATCCTCCACTTCATTCATTACAGAAGTAACATTTATATTTTTGGTTAATAAGGTTACAGATTTATTACCAGCATCTAAAAGAAAAAGACATTGTTGTTTTAATAACATGAAAACGACTGTTAATATTTTATTACAATGTAGAGTAAATGAGTGTTCCTGATACAATGCTAAATACTTCTTTTGCAATCTGCCATTTTTGATTTCCTGCATAGGTCACCAACATAAAAATTGTTTCCTTCTCATTGTTTCAGCCCTTTTTTATCATACCAACACCATGGCTGACTAACCAATTAGTGTTCTTTGCTTTGTCCTCAGTTACCCAGTCAAATTGCATCCTTCAGTCCAACTAAACAGCACGTGACTTGCTACTGTTTGAGCCATGCTAAGCTGTACAAAATCCATTACAAAATATACACGTTTTTTTTTTGTTTTTTTTTTTTTTTTTTTTTCGAGCACCCCGGCATGGTGTAATAGTTAGGAACATTGTCTTATTAAAACAGTTACAACTGAATGGCGAGTTTGAAACTCACTGGGTGCTCCACTCTCTCAGCTGTGTGTCACATCTAAGCTATGCTTAGAAAATCATTTTGGTGTAATGGTTAGCAAGCTTGTCTCATTAGAGAACATTTACGAGTGAATAGGGAGTTTGATCCTCACTGAGTGCCCCATACTTTTGGCCTTGTGTCACATCTAAGCCACACTTGAAAAAAATCACCAGAATATACACTTTTGGAATAATCTAATTTGGGGAAAGGAGATTCATGCCACTTTCAAGGAACAAAATGCTGTTGCTGCTACATGTCATGTATTGAGGTAAGGAACTTATTTTCCTTTACAGCCACTCTGACTTGCTTGCCTCTATGTAATTGTTCAGCCATTAAAGCAAGCAATGTTAATGAAAAACAAAGGAGTAGCTTCCAATAACACATGGATTTGCATCTCATATCCTGGGAACAGGGCACTTTGATGTGGTGTAATGGTTAACAAGGTTGTCTTGTGGGATCAGTTATGACAGTAGTGAGTTTGATCCTCACTGGGTACCCCACACTTTTGGTCTTGTGCTACGCTTAGAAAAAGAGGGCACTTTGATGTGGTGTAATGGTTAGCAAGCTTGTGTCGCTAGATCAATTACAATTGACTTGTGATTTCAATCCTTACTGAGTGCCCCATACTTTTGGCCTTGTGCCACATCTAAGCTGCGCTCAGAAAAATCACCATATCCTGTGAACAGATTTCATATACATGCTTAAAATTTAAATTTTCTGAATATGAAACTAATTTACCAACTAGTAATCACTATGCTTGTCTCCCACTTCATTGGATTGCACTACCATTATGCCATACCAATACCACATAATGGACTATTCTATTTTGATTGTGTTGAAAAACAAAACACAGAGATACTACTTTGTTTCAGTGAGAAAATGTAAGAAAAAGGAGATAGAAGTGTTTAATGGCTGTTTCAGTGAAGTGGAAAAAGTTGTCAATTTCAAATATTTTCTTCATTTGTACCCCTTTACTTCTTAAAATAACAACCAGCATTCATATTTATGATTGTTATTGCAATATTTTGTTAAAGTTGTTACATACAAATATTTAATGATATAAGGGAATTTCTACTGATATGTCACAGAACTCAAGATGAGCTTTCTTAATCATTAACTTAAGAATCAAGATTCATCAGATTAAAATAGAAAAATCATGAAATTTAAACAGGTTAAAACTAGTTAACATTAATTCAATATTTATTTTTTTTTTTTTTAAGAGAAATTATTTGCAATTACTTATATTCAATCAATATATTTTAATTTGTTATTTCTCGGTTGTGTACTATATAACATGGTAGACTGGGCTTACCAGCCTTGGTTAGCAACCAGACTAGCGTTAGTACACGCAAATATAAACTTAACAAAGACATTGATAAAAATACATTAACAGTCACAATGGCAATTTTTGTATAACAAATGAGAAAAATCATCTGAATAGAAATATTAAAAGTATTAATAGCAATGTTAAATTGATGCCATACATTCTTTTACTGTTAATATGAACATAAAAAAAAAGAAAAAAAAGAAAAAAAAAGAAAGAAATAACATGGTAATTACTTTTAAATTTTTCTAGAAATGAAAACGCCATAAAAAACAAAAAAAATGTGAATGTAAATTGTTGCCCAATCTTGAAACAAGTTTTATTCTAATACCATTCATATTTGGGGTATCAGGTTTTCATAAATATATTATTGTAAGTTGTTTGTGCTCTATTTAATTACAAAGAAACTATGATTTTTAGCATAGAGTTTATATATATATATATATATATATATATATATATATATATATATATATATATATATGAGGCTCAAAAACTAATATTCCATGGTTATAATTTATTACATTGGAATCGTAATCATGATCCAATTCATCAGAAGTTGGCAATTAAAAGGGTTCAATCCTGTAGAATGTAAAAAAATTAAAGAGTGTTAAATCAAACTGTGTCAACTAGAGTTTCACCCTCAGAATTGAAGGATCATTAAGAGGTTAAACCTGACCCTAACAATCCTTCAATTTTGAGAGTTAAACTCTTTGACTCACTTTGATTTCATACATATACATAATATTCATTCATATACAATAATTTTTTAAGGCTTGTCTTTGATTAGTATCAGTGAACACAAAGTACACATATATACCAAATATTTTCAAAATCTCAACTAATGGTTTTTTCATCTTTATTGAGCAATTTTTTTTTTTTGTAGTTAATTACCATATTTATATGGTAATTAATTACAAAAAAAATATTTAGCTTATCTGGTTAATACAAATACAAAAGCACCTCCCCACAAAAAGAAAAAATACAAAAGACAAAACAAAATTAAAAATATTTTTGTCAGGTAGCATTTACAAAATTATTTTTACAACACAGGTAAACAAAGCTAGAATTATTAGGTCATTAAAAACTACTTCATTGCTAGGAGAGGTCTTTCCTTATGGCTATGAGTCATGGAAAATCTGGTTGACATGTTATGTATGAATTATCTTAGTCCTAACATTCCTTTGTAAACCTTTCTAACCTGAAACTCCCCCACTTACCATTCTTTCCATCATCACCAAAGAAAAAGATCTTCCTAAAATTTGGTATTAAAATGGGATTTAAATTATGTTTACAAATCACAAGCATTGAACTTTAGTTTTAATCTAGGAAGGTTGCAGTTTATGCCTAGTAAATAACTACATATAAAGATTGATTTTCTTTTTCTTATTTACCTTTTATTATAAAAGAAAGGAGCACAATATCACATATGTTACTATATTCCCACAAGTCACACATTAAATGCCAGAAAGCTATTTGTCACTTACAAAAAAAAAAAAAAAAAAAGTCACTTCTTTTTCTTACATTCTACACTTAAACACTAAGAGAAATAATATCGTTAACAATGCCAAGCACAAATTATCAATTTCTCAAAACCTGTTTACTTACTTTGTAATTGTGTTCGTATATCTGTCTTTAATAGTTGCACTTGTTTCTTAGCCACAGTTCTCAGATCCTGCAAAAGATTTTTTTTTTTTTAAATACTATATTACACTGAGAATATACATCAATGACAACATAATTGATAACCTTAATAGTTGTGGTTGTAGTAAATATAAATAAAAGACATGGTTTAATAGTAGCACTTTCAATTGATTTTATTTTTCTATCATGTATAATATAGAAGAGAAGATTCATAGCCTAATAAGTGTACTTGATCAAATATTCAAAGTTACCAGAAAGTAAATCAAACTTAAATGCTCCAGATAATTAAAAGAAATAAAAAGTCAACTTCTGTAAAATTATACAAGTTTCTTTTTGAGAATATAAATTAAAAACATTTATTTTTCTTTAGTTTTATTGATTTTATGTTCACGGACTTTCTGAAATTTAAAAATCAAAAAGAAACTTATGTCTTACCTGAAAAGAATCATCTACATAAACAACAAAGTCTTTAGTTCCTTTCCTGATTACATTGAAAATTTCAGGGTCATCAACAAATCTTTTCTTATAGAGTTCATTTGTCACATAGGTGCAAACGACAGCAAATCTGAAATAAAAAGCATTCACTAGTAAGAAAACTAATGCTCTAAATTAGCAAATTCATATGTTTGTTTGTTTGTTTGTTTGTGTTTTACGACATATCGACCTCCTCAGTCATTTAATGTCAAATCAGGTTATTATTGGAATATTATTTTCCAATATAATAGACCCTTCCATTTCCACAAACGGAGAGGTTTGCCATGCTGAAAAAGGTTTTTAGAAATGAAATGGTTTGTAGAAAAATCTGGTTCTGTCAAAAAAAAATTTTTGTAGAGAATTGTATCGTAGGAAGTTTTTCTTTTTTTGAGAAATGGTATGCAGAAAGAATCAGATTTTATTTGAAAACATTCCTTGCAGCAAAAGTTTGCAGAAAACTCCCAACTTTTTATGTTTTTAGATTTTTTGGTACAAATTGACTGCTTTCAGGAACGATATTATGTTATCCATGTCAGTTTTTGGAACAGTTCCTTCATGTTACTTGCACTATAAAGCGTTTCTCTTATGGGCTGGGTCAGTACATTCAATGAGAATGTGTTTCACTGTGTATGCGGTCTGGCATGCATAACACATTAGTTGTTGCTTTGCTTCAAGTAAGTAGGAATGTGTTGTCCTTGTATGGCCTATACGAAGTCTGGACAATATCACTTCCTCTTTTCTATTTTTCCTATAGCTCTGTTTCCATTCTCCCAATTCAGGTTTAATTTTTAGTAATTTATTATTACTATTGCTGTTCCAGCGTTGTTGTCTTTGTTGCAGTATGTATTTATTTATCTTCATTTTAAGGTCTGTATATGGTATTTTGAAATTTTTTCTATGGTCATATTTAGAGTAGACCTGGCTGCTTTATCTGCCTGGTCATTTCCACCGATTCAGTGTGACCTGGGACCCAACATATCTGTATATCATTATCATTTGATAGGTGTTCTAATTTACATAGTATTTTCACTATCAATGGATTATCAAACTTCCTGTTTTTTTAGTGATTCTAATACTGATAGTGAATCAGAAAAGATAATGGACTTGTTGTTCCTTGATTCTGAGATGAGGTTAAGAGCCATGTTAATTGCATAAACTTCTGCACTGAATATAGAGGTGTCATTTGGGAGATGTTTTTAAATATTTTCCTATTATATATTGTGGCACATCCTGTTATTTTTCCTACTTTAGATCCATCTGTGAAGACATGTGAGTGCCTAGGATATCTCTCCTTAACTTTCTCTAATTCCTCTTGGAAAATTAGTGGGTGGGTTTTATTTTTGAAGTATTTACAGAGGGTTAAGTTTATGTTTGGGGTTCTTATGGTCCAAGGTGGGATATCTGGTATGATTGTTTTATGGATTTTTTGTCAAATCTACATCTGCTTCTTCTATAATTGTTTCCATCCGAAGTCCAAAGGGTTTTATGGCTTTTTCATTCCTTTGAATAATTCTTTTGTATTTTGGATAGAAGGTACTATTGTATGCACTTGGATTTGCTGGGCATGACCTAATTTGACATAGTACTGGAGGGCCAGTTTATGGCTTCTACTATTTGCAGGTGCTTCGTTAGCCTCAGCATATATAGGCTCTCGACTGGAGACGTTCTAAAGGCTCCAGTACTAACCTCAAACCTCCATGGTAGATCGGGTCAAGCATTTTTAAATAGGATTTTCTGGCTGAACGGTATATAAAAATACTGTAATCCAATTTTGATCTAATTAGGGATCTATACAATAATAACAGTGTTTCGATCTGCTCCCCATTTTGTGTGGGCTACCATAGTAGTTGTAATGTTTTGTTACATTTGGTTTTAAGTATTTCAGGTGGGGAATAAATGTTAGTTTTTTGTCAAATATTACCCCAGAAACTTGTATTCATCTACAACTGGGATCTCTGAACCGTCAAGTTTCAGCCTAGGGTCATTATGGAGTTTCCTTTTGTGACAAAATGGACACATTTTGTTTTTTGTTTTAGAGAACTTGAATCCATTTGTTGTTGCCCATCTGCTGATTTTATTTAAACCCTGTTGCAAATTTTAGATTCGATTGTGTGGATATATTTTGATTTATAACATATCATAAGGTCATCCACATATAGTGATCCATCGGTTCTGGTGGTATTTCCTTGATTATAGTGTTTATTTTTTATGTTAAATAGTGTTACGGACAATATACTGCCTTGTGGGACACCCTCTTCCTGATTTTTCACATCTGAAAGTGTAGAGTAGATACGAACTCTGAATTTTCTTTCAGATAAGAATCCATCAATAAACTGTGGCAATCTACCCTTTATACCCAGGTTACTCAAGTCCCTCATTACTCCATATTTCCACGTCATATCACAAGCCTTTTCTAGATCAAAAGAAAAAATATAGCTGAAAGGTGTTCCTTTTGATAAATGCTTCTCTAATGTTTTGTAAGAAAAAGGCGTATTAAGTGGTCTATTGTGCCTCTTTACAACGGAACCCACATTGTAAGTTGGAAATAAAATTGTTTGATTCAAATGCCAAATCAACCTGTTGTTTATTATCCTTTCCATTGTTTTACACAAGCAACTGGCAAAAAGAGATTCAGTCGATAGTTTTGTGGGTCCAAGCCATCTCTTTTTGGTTTCCAATTGGTATCATTGTTGTCTCTCTCCATATATCTGGGAACCTTCCTTCTGTCCATATTTTGTTAAATATTTTTAAAAGGAATTTTAGTGATTCTTCTGGTAATTTTTTAAAAACTCATAGTGGATTTCATCAGGGCCTACAGCAGAATTATTTTTTTTTTTTTATAGAGTCTTTCAATTCTCTTAGTGTCAATAAACTATTATAATCTTCAAGATTTTTTGATTTAAAATTTAGTTTACATTTTTCTGCATCTTCTTTGATGGTTATGAATTCAAAAACCATTCAGACTGGATGAGTTTTTTGGCAAAGGTTTCAGTTAGCAATTCTGTTATAGCTTTTTTTATCTGTTATTATGGAGTTGTCTTTTGAGAGGTGTTTTATTGGTGTTGTTTCTTGTTTGCCCATAATTTTCTTAATCATTTCCCAAATTGCCTTTGGTTTAGTTGAGCAATTCAATTTGCTGACATAATTCTGCCAGCATTCTCTTTTTGCTTTTTTTATCTCTTTTCATGCCTTTGCTCTGTTTGATTTGTATTCCATCAGATTGGATGTTATTGGTTTTTTTGGAATTTTTTTAGTGCTTCTTTTTCGCAGTTTAATTGCTTCTTGGCATTTGTTGTTGAACCAGGGTCTGTTTCGTTTATTTGAGTTGTAGTCTTGGGAACACTGTCTACTGCTATAGAGTTCAGTGTTTCAGTGAAATACTCTATTGTGTCATTGTTTGACTCTTTGTGTATTAGTTTTTTCTTTGCATTTTTTCTTCAAATTTTTCCAAGTTAGCTTTGTCTAGTTTCCAAAAGGGCATTTTTTTCCCATTAGGCTTTGTGTTATTTAGAAGTATTGGGAAGTAATCACTACCACAAGTATCATCATGTACTTGCCAAGTGTAGTCCATAGATAGATGGGTCACATATGGTTAAATCAATGGGAAAGGTATTCCCACTAAAATTGGTTTATATGTGTTTGAGTGCTGTGTTGAGTATGCATAGATCGTTTTGTTAACAATCCTTTCCAGGATTTTACCTTTTTTGTTTATTTCTTTGCATCCACATATGATGTTGTGACTGTTAAAGTCACCCAATAAAATGAATTTGGGGATTTGCTGCAACAGTTGCTCTAATTCGTGTCGATAACCTGATCATGTGGGGTATGTATATAGTGCATTTATGTTATTATATTTTGATAATAAAGTGGCTGATGCAGCTACAGCTTGAAATTTGTGTCAAGATCTATTCTATTTGAGGGATCTTGTTATTAATTAGTATGGATGTGCCGCCTGAGGCTCTATCTGTATTATTATTTATATAGTTATATGAGGTAAAATTACGAATTTTACATTGTCATTCTCTTTCAGAAAAGTCTCCTGTAAACATATTATCATTGGACATAGGTTCCCAATTAAAAGCAGTAGTTCATTTATGTTTGGTTTCTTTACCTCTTATGTTCCATTGGATGATTTTATTAGTCATGGTTCCGGTATTTTGATGTTTGATTACTTTTGGAGCCATGTTTTAATTTTTTTTTGGATTTGTTTTGAGGTTAGATTTTTCCTTGATTGGGTTTTGCTTAGTTGTGGGGTCTCATCTTCCGTTTCCATTATTTCCAATGCCTCAAATTTATTTATTTTTTGGGGCAGTTCTTGTTCTTGAGGTTGATCTTGATCTATTTTTATGCTCCTGCCCATCAGGGTTTTTTTTCCTTTGTAGTTTCCCTATTGGGTGAAGTCTGTGATAAAAAAGTGGTAGAGGAAACTTCAAAGAAATTTTTGGGTTCTCCTTGTTAGGCTTTGCTTTGTCTCTTGGTTTGTTGATGTTTTGGTGTTTGAAGTTTTCCTTGGAGAGTTTTTTGTTTTCTGTGATTGTTTTTATAATGGTTTTCATTTCTTGGATTAGAGTTCTCATCTCGTTCATAAGTTGAGTAAAAAACTTCAGGTTTTGTTATAGGTTGATTATTTTTGTATGTTTGGTGTCCTTGTTGGTTTGGGTTATTAAAATATGTCTTTTTGATATTTCTGTGTATGTCACAGTGTTTATTAATTTCCTTGTTTCTGGGAAAGTAATATTTTGAGTATATTTTATTTTGGAAATATCCTTTTTTTTTTCCAGATAATAATAATCTCTGGAATTTGCGGGGTGATTTTTTTGCAGTTAGTGCATTTTGCCTCCTTCTGACAGTCAGTGTGTCTTAAAGCGTTATTTTCAAGAAAATCTTTTTGAGATACTGGGGGTCTAGTACACCTATCTTGGTGGTGTCAAACTTCTGACAAGAAAACATCTAAGTGGATTCTAGTATGTATGTCTCAACTTTTATTTTTATGTACCCTACATTTAATTTCATTAGGGGTTTTGGGATATTAAAATTTAATATGTATGTGTTTGTGTTTATAGTTTCTTTTTTTTTTATACTTATTCTTTT